TGCTGCTGCTGCTAAGTCGCTTCAGTCGTGTCTGCCTCTGTGCGACCCCATAGACGGCAGCCTACCAGGCTCCCCCATCCCTGGGATTCTCCAGGCAAGAACACTGGAATGGGTTGCCATTTCCTTCTCCAATGCATGAAAGTGAAAAGTGAAAGTGAAGTCGCTCAGTCATGCCCCACTCTTAGTGACCCCATGGGCTGTAGCCTACCAGGCTCCTCCATCCATGGGATTTTTCAGGCAAGAGTACTGGAGTGGGTTGCCATTGCCTTCTCTGACTCTACTACAAGTTAACCACTAAAGGGATATTACCTCTAAGCTTCTGTGCATGTGTATTCAGTTGTGTCTGACTCTACCGTAATCTGCCAGGCTCCTCTGTCCGTGGGGCTTCTCCAGGCAAGAATACAGGAATGGGTTGCCATGTCCTCCTCCAGGGGATCTTCCCTGATCCAGGGATTGAACCTGCGTCTCTTCTGTCACCTGCATTTGCAAGCAGGTTCTTTACCACTAGCACCACCTGGGGAGCCCTGCCTATAAGCTTAAATTATACATAATAACCCATCTCCAGGAACTTTGCCTCCTAGGTAATGAGCATTAGACTAAATTGCCTTTGTTGAGCACACAGGACCCTGACCAGGCACAATGCTGGGAGGAAAAAATTAACACATCCCTTTAGGGGGCTGACTGGAATCTCAAAATGTTTGACTTTACTCCTTTTCCTTTTAGTATAAAAAAATCCTAAATTTTAACTCAGGCAAGATGGTTCTTTGGGGGCACGAGTCTACCATCTTCTTGGTCTGCTGGCTTTCTGAATAAAGTCACTATTTCTTGACCCAACAACTTGTCTCTCCATTTACTGGCCTGTCATGTCGCAGCAGTATGAGCTTGGACCTGGTGACTTCCAAGGGGAGTGACGAGAAGGTGGATTGCCGGCTGGGAGGATTGAACTGGGGAAGAAGAGGCTCTTTTTACTCAGAGGGCAGCAGTCAGGCCAGAGTGGATGTATGCATGTGCATACTAAGTTGTGTCAGACTCTCTGTGACTCCATGGACTGTAGCCTGCCAGGCTCCTCTGTCCAAGGCATTTCCCGAGCAAGAATCCTGGAGTGGGTTGTCATTTCCTTCTCCAGGGGATCTTCCTGACCCAGAGATCAAACCCTGTCTCCTGCATTGGCAGGTGGATTCCTTCCTGCTGCACCACCTGGAAAGAGGTAAGGGTGGATGTGGATGCAGGTAAATGTGGTAGGGGTGGTTAGGTAGTTAGGGATTGCACTGAATAGCTCAGGCTATTCCACTCAGGTAGAATAAGATCTCTTGCTGAGAATAATATAACGGGGGTAGGGGCATGGTGGTGGTGGTGGCTATTGCAGGAGTGAGGAATGGAAGAGGAAGTTGACTCCCAATTCCTAGGGTGATTGCTGAGGCGCTCAGCTGAGGATGGTAACAGATTTATACCGCTACCAGATTTCCATGCTACTCTCCAGTGGCTGCAAAGATCCAACTCAAGGAAAATTGGGTGAGAATTTGCCAAAACTCTTGGGGGAAATAGGCCTGCAGAATTTAACCTCACTTTGGGGTTCATTTCCCTTCTGACTCCTCCTGCCAAGTTCCACATCCTATCAGCAGGACAAAATGATGGGTAATGCAAGCCAGGCTGAGCAAGTCGGGGTTTGGTAACTTTATATGCACCAGTCTTTGCACCACAAAACTTGAATGAAAGAATTAGCTATAGCGCTGACATCACTGGATTAGACACATTGTGCGAACGCTTTACGTACAATGTTTTACCTAACCTTCACAAAATTATCTGTGAAGGCTACTATCATTAGCCCCACTTTACAGATAAGAGGTCTAGAGTCTGAAGAAATTGGTAATTTGTTTAAGATCACGTGACCATCTAGCAGCATCTCTCAAGTCTGATAACAGTGTTCGCTCTAGGCACAAGTGTCAGTCGGTAAGAAAGCTGAGCGCGGTAACATTCAGTTCAGTTCAGTTCAGTCGCTCAGTCGTGTCCCATTCTTTGCGAGCCCATAGACTGCAGCACGCCAGGCTTCCCAGTCCATCACCAACTCCCGGAGTTTACTCAAACTCATGTCCATTGAGTCGGTGATGCCAACCAACCATCTCATCCTCTGTCGTACGAGTGCCCAGATTATCGAAAACATACGGTAACCACAGTTCTGCCTGCACCCGTCTGGTGACCCGGCACGCGTGATGCTCACGCGCGCAGTCTCCGTGGCTTCCTCTAGGAAGACAAGCGGCTTAATCTCGGTCAAGGTGTCGAGCACGACTTTATCTGGGCTGGATTCCTTCTGCCTGAGCGTCTGATCCCAACGTCGTGAGGGCGGGGCACGGAGGGCGGAGTCGCCGCCCGAAGAGTTGCGGATTGGAGGGGAGGAGGAACAGGGGGCGGAGCCTTGGGGGGAAGCGAGAAGCCGCCGCAACCATGTAAGCAGCTTTGCTTCCTGCGGCAACCGCCGGCGGCCTGAGTACCGCGGAGCTAGGCTCGTAAACCGCTTTCCTGCGCCTGGACCGGGTGAACCCGAGGCTGGGGTGGAGGGTGGCCCGCGGGGCTGGGGCGGGAGGCGCAGGTAAGGGAGGAACTTGGCGCGCGGCCGGTTGGGCCTAAGTGTGGGGAAGAAGGCAGGTTTAGGAAGCTCTGTGGCCGGAGCGGAGGGGAACTCTGAAGTGAAGGCGGCAGCTGGACTCCACAACTAGGGCTGACGCCGGTCTGCGGCGGAGGCCGGGTGAGGAAGGGCAGAGAACCCGTGCTCCAGTTCAGGCGACTCCCCTGATTCCCCGGCCGCCCCTTGTTTAGCGAGTGGGAAGGGATCCGGCTGGGGCTGTCTTGAAGAGGTTTCCTGGGAAGCATCTGAAGTTCCCTCGCTCCTGTCTTGTCCCGTGTACTTGAACTTATTTCAGAGGTCCCTAGTCCAGTTCCTCCTCTCTCTGATGGGTTAGCTCTGAGCCTGTGTTTCAGAGGTGCATACGTTGACTAGACAAGAAAGTTCCTAATCTACAGAAACGATACCAGTAGTGAGGTTTCAGATAAGTATTTACCTCCTATGGTGCTTGTCTTTGCTCTTTGAGACCTTTCCGTTTGTACCTGTGTCAGGCTCTTGAGGAGAAGACCTGATTGCCCAGTTAGTATTTTCCCCTTGCTTACAACGTTCCCAACGAGCGGATGAGAATGGAATATTTTTAGGAAATTTGGCGTCTTTATTATTAAGACATTCAAGAGCTATGAGAAATAATAGAATTCCGTATGTCCTTTCTGTTTTTCTGCTGAGTGTATTTATTAAATTATCCTGTACTGATTCAGTGCACATTCTTGTAAAATTACTTCGATATTGACAGGAGAGGTGGTCTTGTTATATTGTAGTGTTTTGTTTCTAATTTATTTGAATCTTGTTTTCTAGCACTCCCAAACTCCCACTGTCAGAATTCTTACAAAAACTATTCTTGATTTCTTTCTGTTGGATTCGAGTTTGTGACAGAGGTGGGCAGATTAAGTTTCTGTTGAAGAGCAAGACTACTCTCCCATGTCCTCTTTTTCTTCTTTCTGGGAAGAAGACTATGGATAATGTGGTTTTCCTTTAGAAAGCCTCTGTCTGTTGGTATGTCAGTCAAAAATTGAACAAAGAAAAATCATTGGAGGTGGAAACTAACATTTCTAGTGTTCTACTCTCCTGCATTGTTATATATTTTGAGTATCTTTTTGTTTTTTTTTTTAAAACACTGTACTTAGAAATGACTGAACTGATACTTGGGTTTTTCTGTCTGCTAAAATTTTGATTTGACTGGTGGAGTAGGCTTATTTTCTAATGTCAATTCCTGACAAGCCTTTTGATAGTGCTTAGTGGATCTGCATATGCAAGTCTGCAAAGGAGAAGAGGCAATGTGTTGGTGATCCATGAGAGAGGTCTTTGAATGAGTAAGTGAATATATCTAGTTACCTCTCAGATAGGAAAGAATCCTAGTTTATGTCACAGTTATTAAGCTACCAGAGAAAGAGTTGTAAGGTAGTTTTCATGGTCGTGATATCAGTATATAATAATTATGATTAACTCTGCATGATTGTATTCTTTTAGAGACTACATTGGTCAGTGTCTTCATGGTAATTTTTATCCTCACATCTCCTAAGTCTAATAAAAGTTTGTATGTGGGTGACTCTTAGGCGTGATGCTGAGACTCTCCAGGAAGGTTGCTTTACTCTGCTCATGTTCCTTGTGTCGGAGCAGAGTGTAGGATGTTCTCTGAGGCCTTCAGGTTATTGCTGTCACAGTATTCTTTCTCTCCAGACCTCTCTTTTTACTTTCTTGAGTTTACACTTGGTCAGTCAATCATCAGCTAATTTCCACCCTTTCTGCAGGAGTGTGGGTTGTGAGGACACTTTAGAAGGACATGTCCTTTCCCTCCTTCCTTCCTCACTCTTCTCCTCCTGTCCCTTCCTCTTCTCCTTCCTCTTTTTCCTCCCCCTACCCCATTCCAATAAATGTTTTTTGCCAAAATTCTTTTTGTCAGTGGTCTTTTTTTTTTTTGTTTAATGAACAACTAATTAAATTATTAATCAGGCAACATCCTGAACAGTTAGAATTCAAATAGACCAGAATTGAAAGTCTGTGAAGAGCTACAAAATAATTTTGCTTAAAGACGAATTCTGTGCCTTTTATGGGCAAGCACTCTGCTAAAAGTGCTTCATATACACTATCCCACTTAGTCACAGTATGCCTCAGTTTCCGCTATGTGAAATGAGGATGGTAATATATATCTCACAGGGCTCTTACGTGGGTTTACTCAGCTGAGAAATTTCATAGTCAGAATTTGAAGCCAAGAGTGTATGCCTCCAAAACCATTGCAAACTCGAAATACCTCTTTAATTAAAAGAGAAAATAATTAGATAAAAAATGCTGCCCTTGAGGGGAAAAAAGTAATTCTGGAGTGAAACTTGGCGTCTAGTTACAGTTGCACCACTGAATAGCTATGTGACCCTTGAGAAAGTTGTTTTGGGGTCAGTGTACGTTGGTTGCTTCAGAGATAAAATGTAGTAATAAGGCCAATTCTGTGTTCCAGGAATTTATAGAAATGAAATGAGATGGTAGGTAGGATTTTGAAAGTGAAGAGCATTTTATAAGAGTGTAGTGTCCTTGTAAATATAAGTTTCCAAGCTATAGCATTTTAATGAATTATGCATAGTTCATGGTCTTCTCTTTTATTTGAAGTATTAATCAATATGGCAGAAAATAGACATCTGTGCTTTTCTGTTACCTGCATCTGAGGGTGTTGGTGACAGTCCTTTGGTTGAATTATGATTTTTGGTTATTTAGAAAAAAAAGCACTTTAAGATCTTCATTTTAATGCCTATATGAGTTTAGGTTTAAGGAGAAAAACCAGGCTCCTGTACCTAGGAGGACATGTAATGGGGATCAGCTTGTTGGTTTAGATCGTTCTCATAGCTGATGAGACATAGTTTGAGTTAACTTTTGAAGCTATATAGAAATGTCATTAAGGGATGACTTTTATTTTCCGTTCTTGGAAGTGTTTATTTTTTAATATTTTTTAAAAAAGCAAACACTGGGATAAGTAAAATAAAGCTTTGAAGAATTTGTATGCTTTTGTAAAACCAGTTCCCCCCCATCTCCCCAACTTTAAAGAGCTATTTCTTTTTCAAGGAAAAAAATCTTAGAATGAAAAATATATAAATAAAGTGAAAAATCTTTTTTTCCTTTTTCCCTGTTCACATTTTTTCCTTGCCTTCAAATTTTTAATGCTTTTGGTTTTTTTTTTGTTTGAAACTACAAATACATATATACATAAAATATAAATACCTAAAAATATATTAATTTTGAAAGTGAGATTGACTGTAAACGTTCCTATTTTAGATAACTGAAACTCTTCCTTATGATCTAGACTGCAGCGTTTTCAAGTATTGATTTGGAATGTATGCTGAAGTAGACTTAAGTACTCTGGTTTTCTTAGGTGTGAGTTTTTGAAGTTAGATTTCTAGACATTTAGGCACTATTTGGAATCAGCCTTTGGGCTTCCTGAGGAACTTACTTTTGCTTATTTCTTTTGTTTATTAGACTCATGAAATGGCCACAGATGATAAGACTTCTCCAACATTGGACTCCGCTAATGACTTACTTCGGTCTCCTACCAGTCCTTCTCATCTCACACACTTTAAACCTCTGACTCCTGATCAGGACGAGCCTGCTTTTAAATCAGCATATAGTTCTTTTGTCAATCTCTTTCGATTTAACAAAGGTAAGAGCTGTTAAAGATCAGACACCCTGCTATCTTGATTCTCTGAAATTCTCTTGTTCAACTTTCATGCTGTGTCTTTACAAGAAAGTGAATATTAACTAGGAAGTAGCCTTCATCATAGATCCATGGGTTTAACTGCATAAGAAAAGAAAGCTAGAGTTTTCTCTTTAATCTTAGTAATTATTGGAATGGGAAGTTGGAATTGAAAACTAAATGTTAAAAGGAGGTTAAAGTTGGCATCATCATTTTTTTTTTTCCTTTGTTAATATATCTGTATTCTTAAGTCCATAGAATGGACTTTGTTCTTTTAGAGGTTAATAGCCAAAAGATTTTAATGAAAGCATTGAAACTAAAGAATCAGCACATGGGAGGAAGGGTTCATATTTTTCAAAAATTAAAAGCTGTCAGCAGGCTTGTTGTTAATCTGTTTAATACATTTAATGATATCAAATGAAAATATGTTTTAAAAATGAACTCTTTTTAAGAAATATGTTTTTTACTCATTAGAGGAGTTAAAAAACATGGTCTACATCTTTTGCTTTGTATTTGACAGTATTGTTTGAAATGTGTTAGAAAGTAATCCCTCTCTTTGAAAGGGGTTTATGGGTTAATAGATTAACTCAGTGGAAGTTTTAATAGTATTAACTGACTTTTATTAGCAGGCATGTTTAAAGCTCTTGTAAAACCTCCCATTAGTCCATCATTTTGAAAACAGTAATCTTTTTTTTTTTTTTTAAGAAACCTCAACAGCCTTATTTTGAATAATTCTGAATTTATGGAAAAATTAGAAAAATAATACAGAAATTTCTCATATATCCCTACACCCAGTTTTCCCTGTTATTGACATCTTACATTGGTAGAGTACGTTTATTATAATCAGTGAGCCATTATTAACACAGTATTACTCACTGAAGTATGTATTTTATTCATATTTCTCCAGTTTCTGCCTAATGTCCTTTTTGTGTTCCAGGATCCTGTCTAGGTTACATTACATTTACAGTAGTCTTTAAATTTAGACTTCCCTGGTGGCTCAGATGGTAAAGCGTCTGTCTACAATGTGGGAGACCCGGGTTCGATCCCTGGGTGGGGAAGATCTCCTGGAGAAGGAAATGGCAACCCACTCCAGTATTCTTGCCTGGAAAATCCCATGGATGGAGGAGCCTGATAGGCTATAGTCCATGGGGTTGCAAAGAGTTGGACATAACTGAGCGACTTCACTTACTCACTTTTATTTAGCAAATGTTTATTGAGCACCTGCTGTCCACTGGGCACTAGGTTAATAGTCAAGGAATCTATCCCATAAATAAAATAGAATAACAAAAGATCCCAACCTTCATGTGAAGCTTGCATTCTATTTCCATTAATATGCTCAAGAAATTTCTAGTGAAAAGTAAAACAAACTGAAGGTCACATATACCAAGGATGTAATTATTGGCCTGTAATTTTGCCACCTGTTTTGAATTTTTTAACCCTAAGTTTTACTTAGATATGTGATACAAGTATACATTCTTTCCTGAAAAATCTCATCTATTTCCTTTTCTTTGCTGAGCTCTTGAGTCTTAGTTTTTCCAATAATTCCAAGCTTTCCTTTGCTACAGAGAGAGGAGAAGGGGTCCAGGGAGAGCAACAGTCTCTGAGTGGGAGTTGGACCAGCCCTCAGCTCCCTTCAAGGACACAATCTGTGAGATCACCTACACCTTATAAAAAGCAGCTTAATGAGGAGTTCCAGCGTCGATCTTCAGTGTTAGGTATGATACTGTTCGCATTTCATTCCTTTCTGAGTATTAGACGTTTCCCAGTCATTGTGTTTCCCAGGTTGTTTATTGACTTAACTTTTTTGCTATTTGGAATAGTCAGGTACTCTTGAGAATTAATGAAACTTACCTGCATAGTGAAATAATTTGTTGATACCTAAACAGAAGTTCTTAAAACATTTCATTAAACTTTAATTTGGGCTTTCCAAGTGGTGCCTGTTGTAAAGAACCTGCCTACCAATGTAGGAGACATAAGAAACATGGGATGGATCCCTGGGTTGGGAAGATCCCCTGGAGAAGGACATGGCAACCCACTCCAGTATTCTTGCCTGGAGAATCCCAGCGACAGGGGGATCTCCAGGGAATCCTGGTGGGCTACCGTCCATGGGGTTGCAAAGAGTTGGACATGACTGAAGTGACCTAGCAAACAAGAGTTCTTAAACATTTCAGTCAACTTTAATTTGGGCAAGGCAGAAATCTCTTGACTGTTTTTTTTTTTTGATTAATTACTTGCTTGGGTTTCAGCAGAGGACAGTTTGCAACACCCCCAGGAGAACTCAGGTTAGTTTGAACTTTGTGACTGCTGCATCTGTTCCTGGGGTGGCGTGTAATGCGCTGTGCATGCCGCTGGCTGCAGAAGTCTCTCAGTCCCATCAGTGGGCTGCCACTTGCTCTTGGCTTTCTGTCCTTGTCGGGGTGCAAGCTGTCAGTGTGGCTGGATGAACTGAGCTCCTCCCACCTGTTTGTTCTCCATCCTGGTCTGCTCTCCCGTCATCTCCTTCATTGTTGAGTACAGACTGGGATCAGTGCCTGCATCAAGAGACTAGATAAAGTGAGTTGTTGTATGTTTTATTTCTGTTAGATTATTCACCTCAATGCAATGGTTTGCCTGACTCAAGGTGGTAGGGGAAGGGCAATGAGAGGTGGCATAAGAGTGGGAAAGGGGTATAGCATTGAAAATCAGGTGTCTGTGAACGTCAGATCTTGTCTTATCTGGCCAGTCTTCTCTCCAAGGTCTTCGAGTGACAAGTAGGCAGGCACAAGTAATGGTGGTCAGCAGAAGCAGATTTTATTAATAGCTAGTTGGGACTTGGTTCAGAACCTGCTACCAGTAGGTCAGAGGAGGAGGCAAAGCCGAGCAGAAAGAGAGTTTTTCCCAGAGGACTGGAGCAGAGCTGGCTGCGTCACCTCTGCAGGTTTCCCAGGGCAGAGGGCCCTAGCCTGGGTTATGTCAGCTGTTGGGTAGGAAGAATCAGAAGGAAGGAAGGGGGAGAGGGAGAAGTGAGTTCCTTACTCCACATGGATGGAAGGAAGAGACTATCCCTAATCTGACTTTGAACCTTACAACTCCTTAACTCTTGAACCCGGTCCGGAGTGTCACTCCTATCTTTGTTAAGGGAACTCTTCTGACTATATCCTATACTGAATTAAGCATAGGATTTCTTCGTTTATAAAATTGAGGAGTTAGACTAGAATCTAGTTTTTTAGCGGTTACAAACTGACAGCTTACCAAACCTTTTCTTGTTATTTTGATAAGCTTGAATTTAAATATTGCTAGGTAGAACCTATGATGTCTGGTTTGCTGCATTCCTTATAGTCTTTTCTCTGTCCCCTTGATTCTCTGATTCTTCCTTAGCTGCTCGAGGCATTTGAGTTTGATGAGCCTGGGACTGTTTGGCCAGTCTAGTTCCTTTTCCTATTAAAGGACTGTGATTCCACAATTTACCAGCTCTGTGACCCTGGGAAGTCATTGGATTTTCTATTAAGAATATTCATTTTACAAGAGAAGCAGCTGAGATGATTGCTTGAGGGCAGAACCAGATTTTCTCTCCTTTTTCTTTCATCCTCATCCATGTTGAAGCCATCACCTGTTGTTTCTAGGAATAGTCTTGCTCCTGCTTTTTCAATGGATGATGCTATTTGTGTTCTCTTATACTCCTAAGTGGCTATACGCAAGGGGCTTTGCAGTTAATTATTTCCCGTGCATGGGACCACAGCTTTACTGTTCTAACAGCTTCATCTGTCTTTCCTTTTGTAGTTCATAAATCATGGAGAGTTGGTTTATCACAAACCAGTTGGTTTATCGAGCAGTTTTGTCATTCTAATACATATACATTTTTATTCTAGTAATAACATATCTGCTGAGATTAAGGTATTTATAGAAAGATAAAGTTTTCAGTTTTGTAACGTAAGTGCCATTTAAATAATTATTTCCATAATTAATATTGTTGAAAATTCTTAATCAGTTTAGATTTAAATATTAACTTCCCGTTTCTTTGTAGTCTTTTCTTTGCCACTCAGCCAAAACAAAGAACATTTAAAGGAAATGTAACAAATAGTGAGTTTGGGAAAGATTTAGAGAGGGCCTTGCCATAGGTTATGAGGTTAATGAAATTAAGCTAATAGCAACGTTCATCCGTTTTGTCAGGCCACCTCTACTTCATCCTTAGGTTTAGAAACTGCTGGAGTCAGGGATAGGTAGAAACCTCAGTTGTAATCTTGCTCTGAAATAAGGAAGTAACGTATGAAAGCTTTGGTGGGCATAGCCCATTCTGGCCACAAAACGAGTGTAGGCCTGTTTTCTTATTGACAGGACTGGCTTCAAGAGCTGTTTCAAGAGCAAGTGATTCCTTCTTGCTTGGAGCTGGAGGGGAGGGGAGGTGGCAGGGAAGGGTAGGGTTGGAGCTCTAGCAATTCTTTGGTAAAGAGAAGTCTTCTTGGACATTGGTGAAGGGAAGTCTGTGCGTAAATTACCATCCTGGGTGTTCTGAAGTCTGTCAGACTCTGAGGTTGGCTATTAAATTCTTTGCTAATGATCTGCAACACAAGCCTTTGGTTTTGTGATCTGTAGGCCTAGCCGAACTGTTCAGCTGTTGCTGAACCTGATTACTGTGGAGACTAGGCTAGGATAACTCACTGGTATTGCTTTTCCTTCTGCTAAATTTCTAGCAGAAATTTATTCTGACTTAGGACTGAAGGGCCCAAGAAATCACTAATGAGTTTTGTGCTGTGTTAAGTGATGCTCCCATCCAGGCCTCAGAATCATCAGTGGTCTCAGACAGTGCTGTCTCAGTCCTCATTTGCTTGTGAAGCAGTGTTTTACACTTTCAACTGCCTCTTACCCTTACAAAGACTAGTTTTAACTCTCAGGCTATGTCACTGGCTGGGAGAACGTAAGTATATGCTAAAAGTTATAAGCACTTTGCATTGATACTATTAAAGTAGTTTTTTGTTTTGTAATCCTGACTCAGACACCAGAAGGAAGGCAGAACCTACTTTTGGAGGTCATGACCCTCGCACAGCTGTTCAGCTTCGAAGCCTCAGCACAGTATTAAAACGCCTCAAGGAAATCATGGAGGGGAAGAGCCAGGTATTGTCTAGATTCTTTAGATTACTTATTAAGCACTGATATGGGGATCATGCAGTGCTCACTGAAAATGGTACGATGCCACTTGAAAGAAAGTTTGGTTAATGCTTACTCCAACTGTAGACAGCAGATTTTTACTCATATATTCCTTATTTTAATTTATCAAATTTTTTTTCTTTTTATGGGTTGTACTTTTTGTGCTCTATTTAAAAAATGTTTTTCTAACCAGGGGCAGTAAAAAATGAACCATGGGAGACTATCTTCCATGGTTTCTTCAAGAAGCTTTATTATTGATGTGAAGGTACATGGATCAAGATTCTTTTTTTTCCCCCATGGATGTCCAGTTGGACTGAGTACCATTGTCTTTTTTTAAAGACCGTCCCTCACTGATTGCATTACAGACTTTATCGTAAGTCTGCATACTCGTGTGAGGGTGTGCCAGGCTCTTCTCTTCCTTGCACAGCTCCACTTTTCCTTACACTAATACTTTGTCTAAAATCACTGTAGGTTTAGAATAAATCTTAATGACAGACATTGTAAGACCTTCAGCTTATTCTTCTTTTAAGATTGCCTTGGTTGGTCCTCTTGAACTTTTTCATTCCCCTGTGAATTTTAAGAAATAGCTTGTTAATTTCTGCAAAAGAAATTTTCTAGGATTTTGACTAGCACTGTATTTGCCTTTGCATTTTGATAAATCAGTGTTTTCAGGAAGCCTTCACACATTTTTATTGTTGCAGGATAGTGACCTGAAGCAATACTGGATGCCAGATAGCCAGTGTAAAGAGTGCTATGACTGTAATGAGAAGTTTACCACTTTCAGGCGCAGACACCACTGCCGGCTGTGTGGGCAGATTTTCTGCAGTCGTTGCTGCAATCAAGAAATCCCTGGAAAATTTATGGGTTATACAGGTAAATGAGCTTTATTGACAACTTTACAATTTTTAAAGGTCATAGCAATAAAATAGTTAAAATAGGGGACCCATGTTAAGTCATTTTTTATTTTGGACTTTATGTGTGAGACGGGAGAACAAACACGAAGGAGCACGACTTTGCTCTAAAGGACTTTGTGGTCCAATAAGAAAGTAGATGGAGATGTTCATAAATAACAAGAATAGAAGACTGTGTGTCATAGATGGTAGTGAAAAACCACGGCACCATTCATGTTTTTTAGGCAGGATGGTTAGAGTGATGGTTAGAGTGGTTTATGTTACCGTGAGAGTTTTTGTTTTACAAAATACAAATTTTATATTTTATGTATACAAAATATATACAGATATATATTCCTTAACACTGTGCTCTAGCAAATTGCGTTTACTCATATTCTTTCCTGAACTTTAGTAATATAGAAATTGAAAATTATTTATTGAAGCAGAAGAAAATTAAGCAGTGGTGTGTGTAGTGATTAGGGAGTGGAAGGTGTGCGGAAGTTACCAAAAAGAGAGCATTCTCAGTATTTCTCTCATGTTATTGTTATTATCATGTAAATCTTCCTTGTGGCCTTATTCACTGAAAATTTCTTTTTAAACCTAAACTGCTTCGTCTACAGCCTTTTAAAGTTTTTTTTACCTTTAATTTTTCCCTACTTCAGATTCTTTTTTCATAGTCTAGTCAGTGTCCTGTTAAATGCCAGTTTGATCATGTCAAAGTATTTCCCCTGCCTAATACCCTTTCAGAGCTCCCATTACTCTTTGGGTAAAATCTTGTCTTTTTAATGTGGTTGATGTCTCAGTTGCCTAGGGCTCTCATAGCAAAATACCACAAACTGAGTGGCTTAGAATAAACAGAAATTTGTTGTCTCACTATTCTGGAGGCCAGAACTACCATAATTGCCCTCACTCCACAGGTCAGGGAACAAATGTAGGGGTTTTGCTATTTGCTGAGAATGTCTATTCCAGTTACATATTTTAGAACTGAGATATAACCACTGCTGGCTTCGGGGACCTGTTGAACCCACCATAAGAAGGACCGGAGCTGAAACTCTGTGGGTCGTGACCTCTGTAAGCCCCTGCTGACTTGAAACCATAGTAGTGTTTTCTTAGTTTTAACTAAGTTAAAACTTAGTTAAGAAAACTAAGTTTTCTTAGTTTAACAGTTTCTTAGTATTAGTGTCAGTTCAGAGCCAAAGTCCAGTAATCCCCTAAAAGTTTGATTATTACCTTTTTCTCAATGCAGTCACTCTGGTAAAAGGCTATAGGTCCTCAGAGGAGACCTTGTACGAAGATTAACAGTATATATTTTTTGGCAGTGAAGTGGATTCCTACCTCAAGGTGACCCAGCGTCCATTCAAAGGACTCTGGGCCTGAGAATTTGTTGAGGGGTCATGACTCATTTTGATTCAAGATAGACTCTTATTGTCTTGATCTAGAATGGTTTTTCTTATACAAATCCAGTAAGAATTTAGAAGACTGCCCATTTGCTTTAGGAACACCATAGTCAGAGGTGTCACAGATCTCTGTATGTGTTATACTGTTCTGGTTACCGCTTTGACTTTGATATCCGTTCCTGCTAACCTTGTCTTTTGAGATTAAGTGCCACCACCCTGCCCCTGCCAACCTGGGATCCAGTGGGCCCAATGCATTTAGGTTTTCCAGTTCAGCACCCACAGTTCCATGATAATTCCTGCAGAGAGAGGTGACAACAAAACTCTACAGGGGATGCCGGTGCTTCCCTTACATAGTCATAGTGACTATGTGCCCTCATAGTCAGGGTGACAGGTATGTGCCCTGGGTCCTCCTGGGGCAAGTGAGCAGATCTTACCTGGTAAATCTGCTCTTAGCAGACTCTCTCAGCCTTTGGATCCCTTCCTTTAGAGCATTCCACAGGCCTTCAAATTATTGGATGAGATGCATCCACATTATTGAGGGTAATCTACTTAAAGTCACAGGTTGTAAATGTGAATCACATCTTAAAAAAAACCCTTCACGGAAACAACTGGACTGTTGTTGGACCAACTCATCAGTCTTGCCAAGTTGACACATAAAATTGACCATTGCAGTTGGCATAATAGATTCTGAACACAAAGGTCTATTGTGACCCTGAATACCTAGACTACTTAGGCATGTAGAAATAGATCAGTGGATGTTATTATTGTTAATGGTAGTAGCAGTGTTGTCTCTGGGTCTGCCCTGCAACTTTTGGATTGTATGTGTCTGTTGTCTCCAGTGAACTGAGGGGCTGTGTCTTGTCAGCCTTTTCACCACCTCATGTAATTTTTTTTTTTTTTTTTACTGCTCTATAGGCCCTTGCTGGTGAGGATTCTCCATGAAATGAAAACTTTTCTGGTCAAGCTTGGCTCCCTTAATTGACCTGATCATTTTCATTCTAATAGCTGACTGATTAAGGGAGATTTTCTTTACAGTGTAAGAACCAAGCCTTTGTTGTGGCAACTTAAATACTTTTCTGCAGGAAGTAATTTTATCTCTTTTCAACTTTTACCATGAGAATTTCCTTTATAGTTCTCCCGACCCATATTTCTTATTGTCTGTAAGCCAGTTTTGTTTGTTTTTAAACAGTTTTTGAAACTGTGCCCCCTTGTGGAGGTCAATCTTTATGACTTCACATAAAGAACTAAATAACATTTTCCTCCTTCCTTGTTACCAAGGTACAAAGTGTTCCTTCTATTTGTGCTGGTTTAATATATTCAACTAAAATTTTTTCCTTGAACCTCCTGTCTTTGATAGAGTCCCTTACTTCATTTCTATAACCTTGAGAAATACTCTTTTAGCGGAGTTTTCTAGTACATTGAATCATATTTTCTTAAGTTGTTATAAATATTTGCAGTAATTTGGGTGGCTGGATGAATTTATCATTATTTTTGTTTTTATTTAAAAAATTTTTTATTATTTTATACGGTAAATACTTATTTACCCACATATTTGCTCTTCCTGTTGCTTTTCTTTCTTTTTTTAATTGAAGTACAGTTGCTTTATAAGGTTATATTGGTTCCTACTGTACAATGAAGTGAATCAGTTATATGTAGACATATATCCCCTCCCTCTTAAACCATCCCCTTTAGTTTTAAAATATATAACAGAGTTAACAAAGTTACTTCACTTTTAAAAAGAGGTCTTGTTTGGTAGTCTTTACTTGAAGATGGTTCCCTGTTATTAGATTAACTATTAAGCCAAGGGTTTAATGGTTCTGGTAAGTAGATATGTTAGTTATCGTCTAATAAGTTTTCTTCTTCTTTTTTTTTTCCTCCTAGGGGACCTCCGAGCCTGTACATACTGTAGAAAAATAGCCTTAAGTTATGCTCATTCCACAGACAGTAATTCCATTGGTGAAGACTTGAATGCTCTTTCAGACTCCGCTTCCTCTGTGTCTGTACTTGATCCGAGTGAACCCCGTACACCTGTGGGGAGTAGAAAAGCCAGCCGCAACATATTTTTAGAGGATGATTTTGCCTGGCAAAGGTATAGTCACTTACATATCTGCAGTGCTATTCCACTTGGTTGTGGGGACTAAGAATAAAATATTTGAACTCAGGATTTCTACCCCAGAGCACTTCTGTTTTGTATATGTGATTGAAGAGTTCTATAAGTTGTTCATTCCGCCAGGTTTATTGTTTTGCTGCCATCTGTTATACTTAATAAGCAGGGCTTCCCTGTGGCTCAGCGGCAAAGAATACATCTGCTTGCAATGTAGGAGATGCAGGAGATGTGGGTTTGATCCTTGGGTTGGGAAAATCCCCTGTAAGAGGAAATGGCAACTCACTCCAGTATTCTTGCCTGGGAAATTCCATGGACAGAGGAGCCTGGTGGGCTACAGCCCAGGGGGTCACAAAGATTCCAGGCTTGAAAGGTGGTGTGGTGATAAAAGGATCTACCTGTAATGCAGGAGATGCAAGAGACGCGAGTTTGACCGCTGGATCGGGAAGATTCTCTGGAGTAGGAAGTGGCAACCCACTCCAGTATTCTTGCCTGGAAAATTTCATGGACAGAGGAGCCTGTTGGGCTGTAGTCCGTAGGGTCTCAAAGAGTCAGACATAACTGAGCACGCACGCACACACACATACACACACATACTCATACACACACATGCAGTATGCCCATAGGAGCTAATAAAGGGTTTGAGCAGGAAAATAACTTAAGTAAATCTTGATTTTAAAACTATCATTCATGGAATTGTACACAGCAGCAAACCTGGTCTAGTCAAATCCAACATGTAGCCTATTTTTGTAAATAAAATTTTGTTGAAACACAGTCCTTTATGATTTTTACTACTTCTCAATAACAAAGTTGAGTGGTTGTGACAGAGCTCATATGATCTGCAAAGCTGAAAATATTTACTGTCCAGCTTTTTACAGAAAACATCTGTGGACCCCCAGTATAGAGTACAAACGGAGGACGGAAGTCTAGAAGTAGAATCATAATGCCATTTTAAAATATGAGTATATGCCTTTTTAATTTCCAGTAATATTTAAGCTTTGGTACCAAGTGGTAGGCTTATTAAAATACGGACATTTAGATAGTGACATTTCATCTTAAGATGTTCTTCTTTATATGGACAGCAAGCCTTGCCAAAACCCCACAAAGGTGCTCAAACTAGCATCTAAAATACAAATAGTTATTTCGAGAACTTTTTGTTCCTAAGGTTCTTGCCCAGTAAGAAGACTCCAACTGCCATTAAACATACAAAATAAATAAACCTCAAATATGAAAGTAATTACATAGAAGGTCACATAAAAGGAGAGTAAACGGTTCAGGATGAAAATGGCTTCAATCACATAACTCACAGGGACAGTAAATAACAACCCACATCTGTCTCTTGGGAAGGAAGGACATGTGCCAATTCTTGGTTTTTATTGCTCTGACTCAAAGCATCAACAGCCAATATATCTTGCCTTTAAATAACTTGCAAAGAAAAAGTGTTTGTGTGTAAGNTTTTTCATGGATGATGCTTTGGTGTTGTATTTAAAAAGTCATCTCAAAAAAAAAAAAAAAGTCATCTCAGTACCCAAGGCCATCTAGATTTTCTCCTATGTTATTTTCCAGGAGTTAACTTTGCATTTTGCATTTAGATCTGATTCATTTTGAGTTAATTTTTTAGAACAGTCTAGGTCTAAAAAGGTCTGTGTCTAGGTTAATATTTTTTTGCATGTGGATGTCCAGTTGTTCTACCACCATTTCTTGAAAAGACTATCTTTGCTCTATTAAACTGCCTTTGCTCCTTCATCAGAGATTAGTGACTGTTCTGTGGACCTGTTTCTGGGCTCTGTATTTTGTTCCACTGATGGTATTTGTCTGTTCTTTCGCTAATACCACATTTTCTTAGTTACTGTGGCTTTATGGTGAGTCTTTAAGTTGTATGTATCACTCTTCTGTTTGTTCCTTCCATATTACACTAGCTAAGGGCCTTTTACCTCAACACATAAACCTTAGAATCAGTTTTTCATTATCTACAGAACAGCTTGCTAGCATTTTGACTGAGGTTGTATTGAATCCATAGATCAGATTGAGAAGTACTAATATCATGACAATATTGAGTTTTCTTATCCATGAACAATGACATATACTTAGTTCCTTGATATATTTCATCAAAGTTTTGTAGTTTTCTTCATTCAGATCTTGTACGTATTTAGATTTATACTTGAGTATTTCGTTTTGGGGAATGCTGATGTAAATGGTAATGTGTTTTAATTTTTAATTTCATTTGTTCATTGCTGGTATAGGAAAGTGAGTGACTTTCATATATTAATCTTGCATCTTGCAATCTTGTTATAATTTAGGGAGTTTTTTGGTTGATCTTTTCAGATTTTTACATAGATGGTCATGTCATCTATGAAGAAAGACAGTTTTAATTCTTTTTTCCCATTCTGTATTCCTTTATTACCTTTTCTTATTTCATTAGCTTATGTTCCCAGTATGATTTTGAAAATAAATGTCAAGAGAGGACATTCTTGCTTTATTCCTGCCTAAGCAGTTGAAATGACAGAGTTGCCATTTATTGATATGGGGAAGACAAGGAGGAACAGTTTAGTTTTAGACATGTTGAATTTGAGATACCTCTAGACATCCAACTGAGATATCAGATAGTTGGATGTATAAATCTAGAGTTCAGGACAGGGATTCAAGTCTGAGATATAAACTTGGGTGGTGTTATCATGTGAATCATATTTAAAACTATGAACCTGTGTGAGAACATGGAGAGAGTAAGTGTGGAAAGTGAGGAAGTAAGGACCAAGGACCAGGATTGGGGAAATGAAGAGGAACCAGAAAAGGAGCCTGGGAAGGAGAGGTGAGTGATAAGGTCAGAGGAAGCCAGGAGAGTAGGTTGTCCTAGTAGCCAGGAGAAGAAAGTATTTCATAGAACAGGGAGTTATCCTGCTGCTCTGTCAAATGAGGAGTGAAAACTTGACTGTGAACAATAAATATTGGCATAGGCAGTTCAGTGGGTTGTTCAGGATTCTAGAGAGAGTGAAAGAAGAGTTGGAGATGAGTTTCGTTGTACTGAAGCGGGAATGCAGCAGAGGAATGCAAAGTCAAGGTAGTGTTTTAAAAGATGGGACAAATTACAGTATTACTTGTGGTATGTGTAGGAATGCAGAGAGAGCTGCGTTTGGACTGATGCTTTATATTCATCAGTTCAGAAAGAAAACACCCTAATTTTCATCATTTTTAGAAGAGTTTGTACCTATTTTGTTTGGGATATTACTGCTATATGCACTGCAAATATAATTTTTTCCTATAATCCTCTCATAATGACTTCCTTTTAAACATAACTTGAAATAATTACAGACTAACTTAGAAGTTGGAAATAATAGTGCAGAGAATTCCTGGATACTCTTCTTCCAGCTTCCCAGTAATAGTGTCATACACAACCATCACAACTACTTTTAAAAGTGCCCCTAACATTGGCAAATAAGCATTTATTTAAAAATGGACTTTCACGGTAATTCTCTCTGTTGATGAAGAATTTACAACTGTGTTTTCACTTTCTGTTTTCAATTTCCAGATCAGCCAGCATTACTAATCTGTCACTGGATCGATCTGGGTCTCCAATGGTACCATCATACGAGACATCTGTCAGTCCCCAGGCTAACCGAACGTATGTTCGGGCAGAGACCACTGAGGATGAACGCAAAATTCTTCTGGTACCGGTCCAGTATCTTTGACCCATTGCAAGTTTTGAGCATGAAGAATGTTTCATCTCATTGATTTTTCTTTTTTAAAGGCAAATGAAATTGAAATAGCCAGTTAGCATATTAATTAAATAGAGGAACTAATTTGCTTAAGTTTTTATTAGGCTCACCTGAAACTGGTCAAGCAGCCCATACTCATACCCTGCATTAATATTTTCTTGACCACTATAAAGATCAGAATTCAGGTGCTTCCATAATTCTAGAGCTTGACTTTGAGTTACATCCCAGATTGCTGCTTAAACTTCGGGATATGTTTCTCATACACATGGAATACTTTTTAGACATCTAATATTATATGTTTAAGTAGGTAGTAATCAATTGTTTATTGAATTTATCTCTGTAAACTACTGTGTTCAATCATAAGAGTGACTCAAAGAAATAGAAGATATGGTTTCACTCCTCAGGTTTATCATTCAGAAAGTAAAAATGAGGTCAATGAGCAGGTCCCTACTAGTAAAAGAAGTAATACTTTAGTAGTTAAAAAATAGGAAGCGCACTAGTAGTGGAGAAGTCAGGAAAGGCTTTAAACTGAAAGGCTTGCACTGGGCCTTGAAGGATTGAATAGTTTTGGGTGGGCAGTGAAGGAAGAAAATCTTATTTAAAGTGTGGGGAAAGGTATAGAGGTGAGAATAAGCCTGGCATTTTCCATGGACCGAATTAGAGTTTATTATTTGGGAGAGGTTTGGAGGGATGTTAAGTTTGATTCTGTGGGCAATGAGAATGGGAAGTTATTTGGGGCTACTTGGTGGAAGGTGGTGAATTCAGTCTTTGTAAGTTTTAGATTAGAACCTGTAGATGCTGAGCAGTGTTGAAGTGTTCTTGAGCAGGGAGTAATTCCCTGGTGAAAGTTGGGTATAGGTGAGAATCTGGTGAAGTGAAAGCTGCAGAAACAGTTACTTTAGAGTAATGTGATTGTTCCTTTCTTATTTGTTCTGTCTCCAAAGAAGGATGTGAAATTTTGTGCTCAGATAATCAGGAGACTGATAATATGTGCCATTCACTGAAAAAAAAAAAATTACTTGGGATAGTTTTTCCCCAGGAGAAAAAGTTGTTTGGAATTAGATGAGCTGAATACAAACTGTTCTCCATGCATGTGTCATTTCTATTAAATCATGTAAGTCAGCTCTGACAAAGAAATCTGAATCGAGTTTCCTTTCATGAGTCTAAAAATCACAGGAGGAAATCTGAAAAGTGTGTAGTCTCTTTCTCAGGAGTAACTGCTTGCTCATGACGTGATTTCAGGACAGCGTTCAGTTAAAAGACCTCTGGAAGAAGATCTGCCATCACAGCAGCGGGATGGAGTTCCAGGACCACCGCTACTGGCTGAGAACACACCCCAACTGCATTGTCGGCAAGGAGTTAGTCAACTGGCTAATCCGGAATGGACACATTGCTACAAGGTAGTGGGTCTCAAGAACAGCTTATGAATTGATCTTTAATGACATGCCATCATAACGGGAACAGCGTTCTTTCTGAGTAGGATGCTGTTTGATTTCTGCATGTGGTGTTTGGGGTGTTAGTTACTCAACCCTCCTCCCTTCTGAGTTGTAATCAGTAGATGCAAGGCGCCCGATGGGGGTCACAGTTTACCTTATTTATTAAAAGGAGAAATGTGCAGTAGTCCCCCAAACTTAGAGCTCTACAGTTAAGCAGGATTGGGGAATATAGCTAGAACCTAAGGCCACAGTGGTTCTCCTGTTTCTGCTCCCTAATGTGGACTTTCAACCTGTCTTCAGAACTGGGTCCATTAGCCACACCTAGAGTGTGCTAGCCGGCCTCACAGATCATTCTTGTGAAAGCACCAGACAGGTCCTGTTGCCTTTGAGGGTGGTGTGTTGCTTGGCTTTTCTGCTTGTTTAGAGTAGCTACTCCTCCTCCCGTAGGAAGAAACAAGCATGTGGAAGAGAAGGAGCAGCTGTAAATGGTGAAGCCCTGGCTTCCAGTTCGTGTTGCATCTTTTTTTAACTTTATGCCCTCTGTGAAGTTATTCAGTCTCTTTGAGACTTGACCTCTCAGCTCCAGTGAGAAAAATACGAAAATATGATCCTGTGAAGAAGCTGTGAAAATGAAATGAAATAATATGGACTAAATTGTTTGATAAATTGTGAAATGCCATATAAATCCAATGTGTTAGTGTCTATTTCATGTATATATATATGTTTGTGTGTATATGTATACATTTTATACCTACATCTATAATATTTGGTATTGTCCTCTCCTCAAAGACTATAAGCTCCTCGAGGACAGGAGCCATACTGTTCTCAACAGTCTTTTTTATCCTCCTCTACTAAGTACAGGGGTATGCTTGCACAATTGCACTCCCCTCACATGCTAGCAAAGTAATGCCCAAAATTCTCCAAGCCAGGCTTCAACAGTACATGAACCATGAGCTTTCAGATGTTCAAGCTGGATTTAGAAAAGGCAGAGAAACCAGAGATCAAATTGCCAACACCCGCTGGATCATCGAAAAAGCAAGAGAGTTCCAGAAAAACATCTACTTCTGCTTTATTGAACTACACCAAAGCTTTTGACTGTTTAGGTCACAACAAACTGTGGAAAATTCTTCAAGAGATGGGAATACCAGACCACCTGACCTGCCATCTGAGAAATCTGTATGCAGGTCAAGAAGCCACAGTTAGAACTGGACATGGAACAACAGACTGGTTCCAAATCAGGAAAGGAGTATGTCAAGGCTGTATATTGTCACCGTATTTAACTTATATGCAGAGTACATTGTGAGAAATGGCCAGGCTGGATGAAGCACAAGCTAGAATCAAGATTGCTGGGAGAAATATCAGTAACCTCAGATATGCAGATGGCACCACCCTTATGGCAGAAATGGTACTGAGAAAATCTTTTAATTAAGCTTCAAATCTCTCTTGTTTCATCCCTCACCTATCCAAGGACTGTTTGAAGTTCCAACTCTGATTAGCATAGAAAGTAAATTCAGTTTGTGTCTCATCTTGTAAAATTATTCTCTTAAGAGTTTTCATTTTCTCTGGTCTTGATTCAGGGCACAGGCTATAGCAATTGGACAGGCGATGGTGGATGGACGTTGGCTGGACTGTGTCAGTCATCACGACCAGCTCTTTCGGGATGAGTACGCTCTGTACAGACCGCTGCAGGTATGTTCAGTGGTGCGGCCAATGAGAGTCCAGAGAGCTTCGTTACCAAGTAACGAAATAAGCTTTTTGTTTTTTGTTAATTTGATAAAATAGTAATCTGGTAACACCTTTGTGAACTACAGTTGGAAAATCATTGGGTAGAAAAGATGGATGATCCCAAAGACTGGTGGTGGTATGTCTGAAAATCTAACAGTTTTCCAAGTTGTGTCCTAACATTGGCACAGGGTTGTGATAAGTTCTAAGCCTTCACTCTCAGGAATAAAAGAAATGAAACACTATAAAATCTGTATAATATGTTTGGTCATAATATGCTGCCTTTTAGCCTGCTGATTCATGAATATTATAGTTGTAAGAGTGGAATTGCCGGTTATGACGCTGGCTTGCAACTTAAGTTTCTACTGATTTGCTTATTTAATGTATTCAGTGGTTAGCCTTATACAAATATTAGGCTAGAATTTATTTGTAGTGTGACAGCCTCAATATTGTTGCCACTGTGGGTCAATTGCTTGGATCCTGTCTTGACCCTTTCAGAGTACAGAATTTTCCGAGACCCCTTCTCCGGACAGTGACTCGGTGAACTCCGTGGAAGGACACTCTGAGCCGTCCTGGTTTAAAGACATCAAGTTTGATGACAGTGACACTGAGCAGATAGCTGAAGAAGGTGACGATAATTTGACTAGTGAGTTTCACTTTCTGACGTTTTAGTTTTTATGAATCATTAACGTATATGTATGATAGGGTGTTTTGTTTATTTAGTTGAAACAATCCTACTATTAAGTTTTATGGCTTCAGCTAAACGTAAAGAACACCTGATAGCAATCATTGTCCTAGATACAGTATTTTCTTAAGAAACCAATTTGTTAAACCACTGGTGTTTTCAGATTTCGCTGTAGTCTTTAGTTTGCAGCAGCTTAAAAATAACTCCGAGCTAATAATATTGCAGTAGACAACTTTCTCACCTCTTTGCTATGATATCAGGCCTTCTCTCTGCAGAACCTCCAATATATTTCTTTATTTAAAAAATTCATTTTATATTTAACTGGTTCAAATTTTATTAAGTCTACACAGAAGTATCACTACATGAAAATACTGTATCCATTTTGGTATTGCACATTGGGCTTGTATATTAAAAAAAACATTTTTCTCCTTTCCTCCAATACCTTGATGAAACCCATTTTTACTCCCCTCCTCTCCCTATATTTCTTTCCCCTCCCCAACACTAAAAGATTCTGCCAGTCCTAGCAAGCGCACATCAGTCAGCAGTTTCCAGTCCACAGTGGACAGTGACTCAGCTGCTTCCATCAGCCTGAACGTGGAGCTGGACAACGTCAACTTCCATATCAAGAAGCCCTCCAAGTACCCACATGTGCCCCCTCACCCTGCTGACCAGAAAGGTAGGAGGGGGTCTCCACCCGGAATCCGCACACAGGCTGAGAGCTGGGCCGTGGACCGCATCCGGCCTGTCCTTCTTGCTGCCTCTGTCCCCGTGGCTGAGGGGATTTTCTGTGGGTTTTGGTCCACCCTTTCTCATTTTTCCCACACCTCTTCTCCACGTGTTTTTTTCTTTTTGGTTGGTTCCAGTTCCTTTCATTTCTTGTTTCCTCCCTTAGTACCACCACACCCAGCTTAAGGCTTGTAGTCATTAAAGGGAACAGCATCTGACTACTTTTCCCTTAGCATAATGTGCAACTTCCAAGGTGGCATTTCTTTGCATTATAACATGGATGTTCTGCTCTATTCATTTCTCTTTTTTCATTTAATATTTTAAAGCCTCTTTGCTTATGCTGTTACCCGGTAGCATAGTGTTTCACTAAACCTTTCCAGGTGCTTGAATTAGATTGGTGAAAAACATTCACACATTCCAAAGCATCTTTATTATTTAAAATGCTTGTTGTGTAAAATGCTGTATTTGTAAAACAAGATTTCTTCTCTAATACAAAAACAAAAAGATCATTCTTTTAGCTGTCCTATTTGAGGTTTTAGTCTACTGACTCAAAAATCATAATTCAAAGGACATTTGGTATAAAAGGAAAAATAAGGTTAAGCCATTACTAAAATTGAACATAGCAGTATGCAGAAAAGAAATGCTTTTTTTAAAAAAATGGGTGATGAGGCTTACTTTGTTGGATATAATTAAAAGCCAGTTTAAGTTTAAGAAAAGGAGAGCCCTGACTAGCACTGAACATGAGTATGATACACATCTTTGTCAGAATCCTCAAGGCAGAAATTGGAAAAATGGTGGTGAACATTGGGTGAGTATGAAAGGACAGTGAACAGACTGGGTGGGCACTTGGGTGAGAATTAACTGTGGGTGGTGGTCATGTGGAGCGTTTGGATTTCTGTCATATGAATGACAGATGTGATTCAGAGCTGGCATGATCTGTAGAGGTATCTGTTCTCTGGACGTAGTTGTTGGCAATTTCATTGTGCTGAAAGTAGAGTTATGAAATACATTTTTGACTTGTTGATGATTTCATTTCTTGGAAAGTTAAGGAGCTTTTGAAATCATGAAGAAAGTGACCTGACATCATGAAATTCATAATAGCAAAAAGTGAGCTGCTGAGCCCAGTCAAGCATTTGCTTTAGGAAACCCAACTTTATAATGTTAGGAGAAGAATGACATAGAGGAAGAATGATGTTTTGACAGTGCACCCTCAAATTGTATTTCTAAGGAAAATGAAAGGGGAAGCACCGACAGTGGGAAAAACTGTCACAACTCCTCTGGCAATTTTCTGACCTCAACCTTTAAAAACATTTTTTTTTTTTTTCTACAAAAATTATGAGAGTTAGCCTTCATATGAGGATCAGTCTGAAAGAGGGGTCAGTGCTTTAAAAAAAGTGGCAGGTTAGCAGAAGTCCAGATTGTACTGAAGACTGCAGGAAATGTCAAGGATATCTTGGAAAAGATTTTTAAAATTGTGATGCAAAGAAAGAAAAGTTAGGTCAGTTATTTGGGGAAGTTGATATAGTATTAACTGAAGCTTTTTTTTTTTTTCTCACTTTTGTCAAGATAAGAAAGAACACTCACTGCTAAGAAGTGAAATCCAAGATAATGAGGAGATAGAGAGTGCCTGGTTGTTGCTGTTGTTATTCCCCCCCCCTTCTAGTTTTATTGAGATATAATTGACAAAAAGCAGTATGTAATTTTAAGGTGTACAGTATGGCTTAAATGGTAAAGCGTCTGCCTGCAGTGTGGGGCAACTTGGGTTCGATCCCTGGCTCGGGAAGATCCCCTGGAGAAGGAAACGGCAACCCACTCCAGTACCCTTGCCTGGAAAATCCCATGGACAGAGGACCCTTGTAGGTTACAGTCCATGGGGTCGCAAAGAGTCGGACACGACTGAGCGCTTCACATTTTCATCACAGTATAAGTTCAGTGAACATCCATCATCTCACATAGATACAAAATTAAAGACATAGAAAAAATTTTTTTCTTTATGATGACAACTCTTAGAATTTACTCTTAAAAATTTTCATATATATATACAGCTGTGTTGATTATATTTATTGTGTTATACATTACGTCCCTGGTATTGAAAGTTTGAACCTCCTTCAAAGTTTCTCTTGCCTTCATCCAGTTCCCCTTCCCCCACGCCCTTCCTCTAGTAACCACCAATCTTATCTCTTTTTCTGAGTTTGTTTTTGAAGTATAATTGATCAACAGTGATTCCATCTTTCTATACATTTTGAAATGATTGCCAGTTCAGTACAATATGTCACCATATGAAGATATTATACAGTTATTGAATATATTCCCCATATGATACATTTCATACCCATGACTTAGTTTTGCAACTGAAAGTTTGTACCCTTTCATCTCCCTCACCTCTTTCTTTCCTTCTCCCACTCTCCTCCTCTCTGGCAACCACTTGTTTGGTCTCTGTATCTATAACTCTGTTTCTGTTCTGTTTATTCATTTGTTTTGTTTTTAGACTCCACATATAAGGGAAATCATACACTATTTGTATTTCTCTGACTTATTACACCTAGCATAATGCTCTCTAGGTCAACCTGTGTTTTCACAAATAGCAAGATTTCATTCTTTTTTCATGGCTGAGTAATATTCCAGATGGAACCCCAGGTCTCCTGCGTTGCAGGAGGATTCTTTACTGTCTGAGCCACCGGGGCAGCCCATGTATGTGCACACACACACACACACCAGAAAAACTACCTTCTTTCTCAGTAGACTGACTGCAGAGAGCCTGTGATTTGAGGACTTTTACCCCTTAGTAAGTGTCTCTGGCTTTTACACTTCTCTCTCGTTAGCTTTTAGCATAATAACAAGAATTATTATTTTTTTTCTATTTTGTGAAGTTGAGACATAATAAATTATTTTTTTCTGCACTGTAATTGAGAGGAACACTGGTTACCAGAAAATAAAGTCATCAGAATGGTCTAGTTCAGAAAATGAAAGAATAGTAGATTTCCCCTGCATCTGGTTTTCATTTCTCTTAAATACAAATGAGAATGGGTGATTCTTTTCTTTCCATTAAAATTAATGGTTACTAAAATTGTTAAATATTTTCTTAGGGATCGTTCTCTAGCTTTTAACACTGAGGAAATATGAATTTTTAAAATTTGTTGAAGTATCTATGCTTAAGACGATGCTCATGTTTTTTGTATTACATAAGCTAGCTCATTTTCAGAAACTTGTAAAACTGAGTCAGTGTGATGTTCTGGTTTGATTAATTTCTCACTGTTTGTTACGGAGGGTTATGCAGTTAGAATATGTTTTATTATGTGTTGAAAGCAGGATTCTGAACTATCCTTGGAAAGTTAGCAAGTAGTACCTAGAAAAGAAAATGAAAAGCATGACTTCCTCAAACTCCTAGACCTAACTCCACATTTATAGGGAAACATGGGGGTATAAGAGCAAGTTAAACAGCACCGTGAGGAAACAATCCATCAAATCCAGAATGTGACATTTGGCCTGAATTCTTTCAAAATTCAGTATCAGGAGAAAGAAAAAGGTAGAAGGTCTACTTTAGATTAAGAGAAAATGAAGAGAATGTAATGTATGAACTTTAATGGATCCAGGTTGGAGGGGAAAAAAAATTTATTAAAGCATTTTGGTAACAGATAAACTTGAATATGGACTAATATGATGATATTAAGAAATTGTCAGTTTTCTTAAGTGTGTAAATATTATGGATCTAGAGAAGAATGCTCTTATTTTTTAAGAGATGCATGCTGAAGTACTAGTGGTAAAATGTCATGATACGTGTAACTTCAAATTGTCTGGGAAGAAAGCACACAGAGAAATCAGATATGGCGAGTCATTAACAATTGTTCAGTCTTGGTGGAGGATATATAGGGTTTTCTGTATGTTTAAAGTTTTTTCATAATAAAATGGGGAAAATCCATTGCTTCTGAAATTTTATATAGATATAGACATATGTACATATATATCCTTTAGACTGAAGAGTAAAGCTTCTAAAGCCTCTGTATAAACAGGCATTGGCATTTTTAATTTCTGTGAGGGAGGTGTAGAAATAAAGTATCATATCTGTTTTCACTGATCCACATACTTGATTATATTGTATTTGGCATGGTACACTTGAGCTTGCTAAATTTTTTTTTCTCTGCTTTTTTGTTTTGAAGGATTAGTGTATTGGATTATAAACACATTGACTTTTGAAGCCCTTTTGTTTATAAATGAGATCTACTTGGAAAGAATTTTGTGGATCACCTTTACCTTAAAGGACTTAAAATGCATTGTGGTTAAATTTGCATGGTAGAAAGAACCTCATTTGAGCTGTGCTTGGTCACAGATCTAGAGGAAAGTTCATGTGAAAGTAAAGAATAAGTTTCACTTGTAATATTTAATATTCTAAAAGTTTTGAATTCAGAGTGTGTTCAGAAGTTATCTTTTGGAAACTATTTGGAAATGTTTGGTTAGAATTTTTGAAACATTAAAACTCAAAAACTAATACAATCCTGATGAGTTATGTCTTAATTCCCTTCCATTATCATTTTTGTATTAATTTGTTTTATAGCTTATATTTTGAAATTCAAAAAACCCCACCTTATATTTTTTTTATGCAGTATGCTCTCTATCTGAACTCATTATTTGTTACATAATATGGCTGTGGATGAGAAAAAGAGTGTAACTTTTTAGGCTTGTCAGGCAAATCCATGACAGACCTCAGTTTTCATAAAGCAGTTCAGATTTGATAAGGGAAAAATGATCTGTTAAAAAGATTATCTGTCATTGCTGTCTCATGGCTCTGTTGAGTTATTAAGTCTATCAAGTCTAGTATGAAGTGTGCAGAACAAGTTATAAACCGACATTTTAGCCTAAAGTTTCCGTGACTTGGCTGCAATGGGTTTAGTGTGAGTAATACTTTGTGTGTGGGTGTGTTTTCTGTATAATTACGCTCGCCTGTTATAGTCATAGGCCTCTCCTTTCCTTCCTCCTCTCTCTATTCTCTCCCTGGCATGCAGAGTATTTGATTTCTGACAATGGAGGACAACAGCTATCAATAAGCGACGCCTTCATCAAAGGTAATTTTACCAAAAGCTATACGTGGGATGGTGTCTCTTGTTCATGGAGATATACTGTGGGCCCAGGATACTGACTGGCGCCGAGTGAGTACCGACAATGCATTCTATTATTTTAGTACCATAGGAACACGGTTTTTCAAGATGTGTAGTAGCCTTGAGACTGCTGAGAACCAAAAATATAAACTTGGACTTAGTTTGAGAGGTCTCTGATCTGAAAAATAATTGTTTAAAAGTCTTTAACTAGATTTTGAATTTTATTCACTTAAAGGCTTTTCTATATCACGAATATGCTTTTCTGTATCACGAATATAGTATTAAGTATTGATAGACATATCATCAAGTGATTGTCAAGCTTATCAAAAAGCCACAGGCAGATCTCATCTAATTGAGGATGCTGCTTGCTCTCTGGATTTGGACAACAAGTGGACTGAAGGAAATAAGAACTAATCCTGTTTATCATTTCCTTGGGGATGAAAGGAAGTGCAGAAGAATACAAACCTTTCCTGTCCCCATCCCTGCTTAGCTTGCTATGGAGTGAAGGCACACTTATTTGGTCCATAACACGCTACAGCCTAGGCCTCAGATAATGGGAGGGTTCCACATAAAAGAGAGCAGGTAGGGCGAGCTGGAACAAGGGCAGCTGCTGACAGATAGTGTCACAACGTAAGTGTTTCTAGATTCGCCTTCAAGCATCTGGTTCAACCAGATGTTTATAGACCAAGAGTTTACACAATTGAAATGTGCTGTTCTTGTACCTCACTTGTCGTGGACACTGGCTTTACTCTGGAGCCTGCTGGACTCTTTAGTTGAAGGTTTTTTGTCATTTGTTCAGTTTGCTTTAAGAGGGGAAAGACTAGAGAATTTTTACAAGCATTTTCTACCTCTTTTCTTTCCATTTATTCAGTCACAGTTTCAAAAGTTATTCAGTGAGCATCTTTTTTGCAAAGTATTTAGTATTACCTGTTTTATTTTATTTTTGGGGTTCTGATCATTTACATAAATTACTGTTTACTGTGTTTTGATTTCTTCACAGTTAATTTTTTGGTCTGACTTGTAAAGTTTTGCCAATTAAGAAGAAAGCCTTTTTTGTTCTAGTACTGAAAAAGAAACACTGACAGGATTGTATGAGTAGACTTTCTAGACTGTCATATCCTGGTTCGGACGAATCAAAGCTGAGCTTTTCTCAGCACCCACACTGTCACAAGTTCTCCTTGCATTCTGATTTCTGTTGAATGCAGTGTTCAGTTTGTGATTTTATAGGGAAAATTAACCACCTCTCTGTTTTAATATCCCCAAATAAATAAAAAGACTGTAAACAAATCTCAGTTCATTTGCTTTTCAAAAGCCGTATTTATAGTTACTTTCTTGAGAGCCCTGGTTGCTTATGTAAATTTACTCTTTACACTTGTGTCTCTGATTTTGGCTGTTGAGAATGTTGATCTAACTCAGACTTAATTTTTTTAATCTATGAATTTAAACATGTCCTTGCCTTTTTTAGATCAATAATTCGAGTTGGCTAACTTAAAAAATTTAAAAAGATAAGTTGGTGATTTCTAAATCTCTGAGTAGATGGTATAAAACTTGACAATGAATATAATTTCTTATTTTACACTTAGAATCCTTATTTAACCGTCGAGTTGAGGAAAAATCCAAAGAACTGCCCTTCACACCTTTGGGCTGGCATCATAACAACCTGGAGCTGCTGAGGGAGGAGAATGGAGAGAAACAAGCTATGGAGAGGCTGCTGTAAGGCAGTGAGCTTATTCATTTTAATTCTCTATGTTTCTAATCTTAAGTGACTTGATAGGTATTTGTATGGTTCTTCCTTATAAAGTAAAAAATGCTAACATTACTTAGGAAATAAAGCCTATTCTGGTGAAACTTCTAATAAAGCAGAGAGTCCTAGTTGTGCCTGTCTATCCCCATTGTTATTTATGTGTTAAAATTTAATTGAATTAAATGGGGCATTTTTTTTATCAAACCCATAGATTTTTTGTTTTATTTATTTTTCAGTTTTTTAATTGGAGGATAATTGCTTTACGGTGTTGTGTTTCTGCTGTACAACATCATGAATCAGCTACAAGTATGCATATATCTCTTCCCTCTTGAGCCTCCCTTAAATGGGTTATCTTAATTGAAGATATTCAGATTTTCTTTATATGCAAAAACATTAAGGCGCAGATATGCTGAAAGAATAAAATGACCAAGAAGATCTTACCTGTAAGCCATTAAGTCATGTGCTGATTTCTTTGCAGACCGTGTTGCATCTTCAGAGCTATTGTCTCTGGCGGTGTTAACTGTGCAAATGTCCTTCCTGTAACACTTTTCTAGTTCAGCTAATCATAACCACATGATGGCGCTGCTGCAACAGTTGCTCCACAGTGAGTCACTGTCCACGTCCTGGAGGGACATCATCGTATCCCTGGTCTGCCAGGTTGTTCAGACAGTCCGACCTGACGTCAAGAACCGGGATGATGACATGGATATCCGCCAGTTTGTCCACCTCAAAAAAGTGAGCTCTGCCGACGTTTTCCTCGTGTTCGGCGTTCATGAGATGGGCCCGATAGTAATTTGTCTCTTAATGGTAATCTGAAAGGGTCGCTACCAGGAAGGATGCTCCGTGAGGAGAGGGACGTTTTTCTGTCCTGTTTGGTAGCAGTGCACGTGAAGGTCATAAGAGCCACTCTTAGGAAGTGGGAGGTGGCTGGGGGTGGGGGTAAGCTGGGCTTGCCATGAGCTGGAAACCCAAACTTTCCTACTTCCCCTGGGAACCCAAACTTTCCTACTTCCTCTTCTTGATGTGTCAGCTACAAGAAGGCCTCTTTTCACAGGTGGCTGTTACTCTTCTGAGGAAAAGCAGTGGGTAGTTGTTTTATTTAGAGAATAGTGGACTTTTGCCTATATTTTTTGCCTCTGGTGTTGAACTTAATAGTGGTTTTAATTGACATCTGGCATTTATTTGTTTGGTCAAATGGATATTTTAGAGTACCAGATAGTATGTTAGAGAGTTGATGATTGTAGGAAGTTGCCATTAATTATTGGTTGAAAGGAAGAAATGCATCCTAGAACTTTTTGTTCTTATTTGGTTACATAATAGTGAAAATAAAAAATGGAAATAAATACTTATAGAATTCATTTGACTGCATTCTAAACATGTATATCAGATTGTATTGTTTTCTTAATTGTTTCATTAGATCCCAGGTGGAAAGAAGTTTGATTCTGTGGTTGTCAATGGATTTGTTTGCACCAAGAATATTGCACATAAAAAGGTAACGTGATTCAGTTCAACATTGAAGTTCAGCAAACTATGACTGTGTGCCAAGCCAGCAAGCTGAGGGTGCCCTCACCATGGAGGAAAAGGAGATTGGACAGAAAGGAGTGACTAGCAGTGAAATTTGGGGCTTCAAGGAGAGTCTCCCAGAGCTGATGATGACAGGGCCTTGGACAGTGAGAACTCATCAGACAGAAGGAGGCTTCCCTGTCAGCAGGCTGAAGGGACACTGGTGTCCCTTGACCCTGCCACATCTCAGGGATAAAAGATTTCCTAACAGACCAGAATTCTTCCAGAGGCCTAACATTTTAAAACTCTGTTCTTCCTCATAGGGCTGAACACAGAATTATGACTGGAATTCTGTATCTTTCTCTGTACCTTCAGCTGTGAGGCCTCTTTCTAGCACCAGCATAGAGAGAAGGGTAAATAACCCCTTGTACTAAGGAAAGTCTGAGACCCTAAGGTATTGGATAGGAACTGGCAGGAAATGAGGCTGGAGGAAGTAGATGAGGGCTTTGTCTTTCACTTTGTTCTGAAGGCTGCTGGTTAGCAAAGTGTACTGTGTATCAGGACCTTGTTAAACATGTAGACTCCTAAGCCCACACCTTAGAAATTCTCATTTAGTAGTTTTAGGGAAGTGAGAATGGGGGGTGGGTAGAGGAAGGGTGGGACTTCTTTTTAAATAAAAGAAGTGAAGTGAGGTGAAGTCGCTCAGTCGTGTCCGACTCTTTGCGACCCCATGAACTGTAGTGCACCAGGCTCCTCAGTCCATGGGATTTTTCAGGCATGAATACCGGAGTAGGTTATTTCCTTCTCCAGGGGATCTTTCCAACCCAGGGATCGAATCCAGGTCTCCCGCATTGTAAGCAGACACTTTACCATCTGAGCTACCAGGGAAGCCCAATTAAAAGAAATTTTATTTTAATGAAGTATAGTTAATTAATAGTATTGTGTCTCTGGTGTACAGCAAAGTGATTCAGTTATACGTATATGCATATATATATATATATATTCTTTTTTGTATTTTCCATTAAGTTTATTATAGGATGTTGAATATAGTTTCCTGTGCAGTACTGTAGGATCTTGTTGTTTATATGTTTTATGCACAGTGGCTGCCATTTCCAAACTCCTAATTTATCCCTGCCCCCCACCCTGCACTTTCCCCTGTGGTAACCATAAGTTTGTTTTCTATGTCTGTGAATCTGTTTCTGTTTTAAATAAGTTCATTTTTATCATATTTTAGATCCCACATATAAGTGATATCATATGATACTTGTCTTTGACTTACTTAGTATGATAATCTCTAGGTCCATCCTTACTGCTGTAAATGTCATGATTTCATTCTTTTTTACGGCTGTGTGTGTGTATTTCATACATCTTTATCCATTCATCTGTGGATGGACATTTAGATGGCTTCTGTGTCTTGGCTATTGTAAATAGTGCTTCTGTGAGCACTGGGATGCATGTATTTTTTCAAACTGGAGTTTCTCTCTGGATGTCTGCCCAGGAGTACGATTGCAGGATGATATGATAGCTCTGTTTTTATTTTTTTAAGGAAACTCTCTACTGTTTTCCATAGTGGCTGCAGCAATTTGCATTTGGGTGGGACTACTTTTTAGTGGAGTCACTCTGGGTGTTTCCAGTGTTGTCTATTTGTTTATTGGTTCTCACTTTTAGAGAAACCGATAATCTGTAACTGTTCTCAAACCTTGCTGTGCTTCAGAGTCACTAAGAGAACGTGTTAAAAATAGAGACACCCGGCCTCATCTCTGGTACTATTGGTTTGGTTACAGTGAGAGCTCAGGCAGATTTCAAGCTTGAGTAATTGGATGGATAAACTGCAATCTGTTTTCACTCTTTTCTAAGCTGAGAAGAATAATAATTTTTTATAAGGTATTAAACTTGCTGAAAAGTATTAATGACCATAGATAAATAAAATTATGTTTGAATTTGATATTATTTCATAGCAATGATCCAAAGTCCATATTTCTACATAGAGTCTTATTAAAACAGCACTTTACCCATCAAAGTAGTACTTTAAATCAGATTAAATGATGTCTGTTGAATTCAGAGGTAGGTGTGTTGAGCTCATCTCCAGAATTAAAAACTGTTATGTGGGTGTGGTAGTCACATGCATGAATGACTATCTTGCCCCAATGACCATGTTTAGAGATAGTCTGTAATTTGTAGTTACTAAAAAAGCCCTGAATGTAGTTTCCCAGCTGATGAATCCCTGTTTTCAGGAGCATTTACTAGTTTGAACCTAATAAGTTTGGTTAGATGGAAACTTCTGTTGTAGGATGCAGGCTCCTCTGCCCGTGGCTTTAGTTGTGTGGTGAGTGTATATTGTTTGAGTCTCTACTTCTGGATGTGCTTTAAGATTTTCTGTTGTAGCTTCTTGTTTCCCAGTTTTGCTTGCGAATTTACGGCTGCTTGGATGTTTATTCCATCAAAAATATGTTCAGCAGGTGTTTTAATTCCTCTCTCCCTCCTCTACTTTTCTTGAATCGTAGAAAAGTTAAATTCTGCTTTCAGAATTGCTGATCTCTAGGAGTTTATCAAGTAGCCTATCTTTCAAGTCCCTCTCCCTCCTACCCAGGGAGTGATATCTTTTTTTAAAAACATTAGAGATTTAAAAAAAGATAGTTAAGAGTATAGAAAATTAGGTAAAATAGCATTAGTGAAAAAGAAGCCAGTTTTTAAAGAATTTTGCACGGCTTTAATTATTTGCTTTGAAAAAAAATAATAGCACAAAATAAATGAGAGTATTTTAATCTGAATAGAATGAGATAATCTATTTAAGGGGAATTATGACCAGTATGAACTTAGAGTTGTGATTAAAGGAGGTCTATAAATTGCAAACTTTCAAAGTTTTAGCAAACTGTTCATTTATATTTTAGATGAATTCTTCTATTAAAAACCCCAAAATTCTTCTGTTGAAGTGTTCCATTGAATATCTCTACAGAGAAGAAACCAAATTTACTTGCATTGATCCTATTGTGCTTCAGGTAAGAACTCCTTACTGAAACCGTAATCTGGAGGAATGTTTGTATACTAAGATACTTGCCAACTCTTATACTTTCTTCCAGCTGGTTAAATTTGATAGGCAAACTTCATTGCTCTTGTTTCATTAAAAAATGTATTGTAGAAGACTTTGTTATGTATCATACTTTAGAAGCTTACTAAAGCCTTTGTCACTATTTTTAGTTGCAAAGTGTTAGTGGCAACATGTGACTTTTTGGGAATAGTTGAAGAAAAGGTGAAAATCCAAATCCTGTTTTCTCTTCCCACATAGTTAGTAAAAGGGAGTGATGTCAGATGGAAATTGTGTCCATTTCTGTGTGGTTTTTCTTAAGTGATGAGGCCCAGAGTAGCTTCAGTAGGATTATAGCCCTCAGCTGGAAGGAAGAACAGCCTTGGCTCAGTTCCTACACAGCCCTTTAGCTCCATTTCAAGAGATTAGAAGTGCGCTCCCGATGGAAGAGCTCGCTCCCCAGGGAGACGCAGCCCCTGGTCCTAGGTGGCTTTTGGGCACTCATTGTGCGGAGCTCCGTTTCCAGTTGTACTGTTGCGCTTGATTTTGTACATTTAAAATTTCCCTTGAGGCTGCCTCCAGCTAGGCTGAGCTGCTTGGCTGGGCTGTCCAAGTTCTCTGTCAAGGTACCACTTATTATTCTTATTAGTGCTCTTGATAAGAAGTTTTATACGTTATCTGCCCCAACTTCTTTTCTCCCATAAATGCTATTAATTAATTTGCAGTTGTTCAAAATGGGAGGTTTTCAGAAATGTGTTTTTCCTATTATAGCAGAAACACTTTATATTCGGTTCCAGAAACGTTTAGGAAAAGCATTACTTGGAAATTCATGAGCACATTTTTGCAAGTGATAGGAGCAGTCACTTAAAAAAAAAATTATTTATCTGGCTGTGCTGGGTCTTGGTTGCTGCATGGACTTTTCTGTAGTTATGGTGAGTGGGGGCTACTCTCTAGGTATGGTGCACAGGCTTCTCATTGTGGCAGCTTCTCTTGTTGTGGAGCACAGACTCTAGGTTGTGTAGCCTTAGTAATTGCAGCTCTTGAACTCTATAGCACAGCCTCAGTAGTTGTGGCGCACAGGCTTAGTTGCTCCAAGGCATGTGGGATCTTCCCGGACCTGGGATCGAACTCGTGTCTCTTGGGTTGGCAGGCAGATTCTTTACCACTGAGCCACCAGGGAAACTTTTGTTCTCAGTTCATAGACACAGAAAAACTTAATTGTGGTAAAAGGCACCATGCTCTGTTGCTTAATGAACTCTGTTAACTGGGACTGTTTCCTTTTTGGAATTCAGCTAGGTATCAGTAAAAATGATTGGTTTCAACCAGATTTATGCCATTCCTTCTAGCTCTGATTTACTGTGACTTTTCAGTGAGAACTGAAATAAGGAATCAGAAGAAACACAGTTATGGTTTGTAGAAAACTGAGCTACTTTGATGCTGGGAGTTTTCGTGATTTCACTGGTGTCAGTGGAAGACTTACATACTTAGATCACAACCACATGGTTTGCAAGATGCATCCTGATTGCAGAGATGTTAAAATGTGTAAAATTGTATTTAGTTACCAAAAAGTTGTCCTTATATTTATCCATTGTAACTCCCCTTTTATGACCAGGGTAACAGACTGAAGTCTTCATGTTGGACACATATGCTCTGGGCAAATGTATATTAATAAACATGATTTAATTAATATAACTTGTTAATTGTAACTTGTATAATTATATTAAGATGATGCTGTTAAAGTGCTGCACTCAATATGCCAACAAATTTGGATAACTCAGCAGTGGCCACAGGACTGGAGAAGGTCAATTTTCATTCCAGTCCCAAAGAAGGGCAGTGCCAAAGAATGTTCAAACTACCGCACAGTCGGATGTCTGAGTAAATCCATAATCTGAAAAGATGCTTTAAGATAGGAGATGATGTTTAATGCCAGGCTGGATGAAGCACAAGCTGCAATCAAGGTTGCGGGGAGAAATCAATAACCTCAGATAGGCAGATGGCACCACTCTTAGGGCAGAAAGCAAAGAGGAACTAAAGAGCTTCTTGATGAAAGTGAAAGAGGAGAGTGAAAAAGCTGGCTTAAAACTCAACATTCAAGAAGCTAGGATCATGGTATCCAGTCCCGTCACCTTATGGCAAATAGATGGGGAAACAATGGAAACAGTGACAAACTGACTTTATTTTCACTCCAGAATCACTGCAGACGGTGACTACAGCCATGAAATTAAGACGCTTGCTTCTTGAAAGTGAAGCCATGACAGACCTAGACAGCAAATTAAAAAGCAGAGACATCACTGCTGACAAAGGTCCATATACTCAAAGCTGTGGTTTTCCCAGTAGTCATATACTGATGTGAAAGTTGGATCATAAAGAAGGCTGAGCACTGAAAAACTGATGGTTTTCAACTGTGGTGTTGGAGAAGACTCTTAAGAGTCTCTTGGACAGCAAGGAAATCAAACCAGTCAATCTTCAAGGAAATCAATCCTGAGTATTCGTTGGAAGGAGTGATGCTGAAGCTGAAACTACAATCAGGTACTTGGCTACCTGATGCCAAGAACTGACTGATGGGAGACCCTGATGCTGGGAAAGATTGAAGGTGGGAGGAGAAGGGGACGACAGAAGATGAGATGGTTGGATGACATCACCGACTCAGTGGACATGAATTTGAGCAAACTCTGGGAGATGGGGAAGGAAAGGGAAGCCTGGTGTGCTGCAGTTCATGGGGTCTCAAAAAGTTGGACACGATTGAGCAACTGAATAACAGCAACAAAGCATCTTGTTCATCAGTGCTTCAGAACATAGTTTATTATATCTTTAAGTCCTGACCTATTCAGGTTTTTAGTTTGAATTGACAGAAAATGTCAGTTGATTTGACCCCTCTGTCCCCGCCCCCAGCTCTTTGCTTGGAGTGGGGGAACTTGTTGTGGCATGACCAAAGAGGAAGCTGAAAGGTAGCTAGTTAAAAAAAGGATAATGAGGAAAAAAGGGCAAGGATAAAATCAGGCTGGGCATCATACTGTCTTCACAAGGTCTGCCCCAGAGGTCTGTTGGTCTACTGCTGCTCCATTCTGTCTTCCTGGCCTGCCTCCTGGCACTTGTTCGTTGCTGAGCCTGATCCAAGCCCCAATTTTAGCAGGGTGCTTCATGTAGTAGTAGTTGACTGGAGCTGGAACTGTGAGGAAACGTATTTGCTTTCCCTGTATTGGAGGCCAGAAACTTAAAAAAGTGAATTTATTTTAGTTCTTCTTTATTGAAGCTGCACAAATAAAATAATCTAAAATGTCATTAAATTGCAATTTTATAAGCAGAGTAGGAAATTAACATATTTCAGGGAAAAAAATTTCATTTTGTTGGGATTTCCGTGGTCCAGTGGTTGAGAACCCGCCTGCCAGTGCGGGTCTGGGAGGTTTACACGTGCTGCAGAGCAGCTCCGCTCGTCGGCCACAACTGCTGAGCCCGCGCCCCGGAGCCCGTGTGCCACAACTGCTGAGCCCGCGCGCTGGAGCCCGTGTGCCACAACTGCTGAGCCCGCGCGCTGGAGCCCGTGTGCCACAACTGCTGAGCCCGCGCGCTGGAGCCCGTGTGCCACAACTGCTGAGCCCGCGCGCTGGAGCCCGTGTGCCACAACTGCTGAGCCCGCGCGCTGGAGCCCGTGTGCCCTAGAGCCTGTTGCTGTGCAACAAGACAAACCACCGCAATGTGAAGCCCCAAGCTCTACAGCTGGAGAGTAGCCCCTGCAACTGCAGAAAGCCCTTGTGCAGCAACCAAAAATAAATAAAAATTAAGAAAAAATTTTTTAAATGTAAAAAAAAAATTTCTTTTTGTTAATAATGGGAGAATTTGAGAATGTCCAGTTTCTACCAGTAAGACAGAGAAAGGTGAAAAGAAATGTACCAGGGCAAGTTCATTGCAGGGAACAGGCTCATCCATTGTTGGTGGCTCTGACCATGAATACAAAGTTGACTCAGAAAACATTGGGCATTTGGAGCAGAAGTGACAGGTGTGTCCCCACCTTCCATTGTCTCCTGAGTCCAGAGATTTTATAAAGCAATTAACTAATTATATTTTTAAACTCTAGTTATTTACAACATTCATTTGCTTCGAGAGTAAGCCTTTGTCATGAAATTGTATTAAACATTGTTTTAATTTGTAACTACCATGGTTCTAAGTAGAATATTATCTGTTGAGAGATAGAAATTAGGAAGTAGCTGAAATACTGTCTGTTAGTTATTTATTCAAATACCTGAAAGAAGAGATATTCTGGTTAGTTTCAGAGTGTAAAAGGGGAAATCCATAATTATATTAAAAATACTTAGTTGCTTTCACTTGGGAAGCTGTGAGAATTTTTTGATTTTTTTAAGTTTCGAGAGCTAACTAATTGGATTCTTGGCTTTTATTACAGGTTATTAAGAACTCAAAGTCCTTCAAAGAAAAATTAGTGAGTTGGAGAATAAAGTTTCTCCTGAACCTCTTTCCAGCATAGTCAGCAGTTTAGAATGATAAATAGTATTCTTAGTTATGTTTGAATTAATTTGCTTACACAGTGGTAAGTGGTATTTAGCATATTTTTACCTGAGATTGAGGATGTGAAAAATGCATTAACACATTAGTACAATGTTTACTTAGTAGGAAATGTCTGTTAGTAGTGGTTTGTGGATGAAGAAAACCTAGACTGAGTTTGATGTTGCTAGTCACACTGCCCTAGTATTTTTACATATCTAGATCTTGATTTGTACCACATACAATGTTTTTTATTTATCTTACTTAGGAAAGGGAATTCCTAAAGAATTATGTTCAGCGAATAGTTGATGTTCGACCCACACTGGTTCTGGTTGAGAAAACGGTATCTCGAATTGCACAGGATATGTTGCTGGAACATGGCATTACTTTGGTCATTAATGTAAAATCAGTGAGTGTTCTTATTTTTCTGTTATTTCTAAAATTGATAGCTTGTAAATTTATATGCATGTGTGGTAGATATAAAGGGTTCTTTGATTATTTATTTCTTAGCTGTACTGTATATATTGGAAGCACAGGCACGGCAGCGCTTTCCTTATTAAGACTGGAGAATCTCAGGCTCGAAGAAAGTATAATTAATGTATCACTCATGCATAATGAGTTGTGTAACACTCATTATAAGTGTCTACCAAGCCATAGATGTAGTTGACATTAGTTATTAAGTAGTCTTTGTAGAGGCGTCATTTTGTTTGGGGAATCACACAAAGCAGAAAATTCTCTCCCTTGAAAAATTACCTTCTTCAGTGTAGAGGTCAGTTGTGGAAATTCCCCACCCATCACCCCTGAATCAGTATCTTGTGCCAATGATTAATGCTTAGATGTCTTGATGTTATTAATGTAAGTATGGTTTATTTTAGTAAGCACATGTTGATTGCTAAGTGTAGACTTCTCTAGAATCAGTAAAAGTCATATAATTACTAAAGTCAAGGAAATTCATCTTGAAAGAAAATAGGGCATTTTCTGTTTTTTTTTTTTTTGGTGAGGGCATTTTCAAATGTTTCTATTATTTTTCCATATAAAATGTACTAAAATTTTATTCTTCTTTAGTTTTGTAATATGCTGTTGTTCTGTGTTCTAGCAAGTTTTAGAACGAGTTAGCCGGATGACCCAAGGTGATTTGGTGATGTCAATGGACCAGCTGCTTACCAAACCCCACCTGGGCACCTGTCATAAATTTTACATGCAGATGTTTCTGTTGCCTAATGGTGAGTGATCTTTAGTGTAGATTTACCTGAAATGGGGGGGCCTGAGGAAATGAATAAACTCATCAGAATGACAATGTTGATATATTAATAGTAGAAAATGACTATTAGCATACAACTATGGTCTTACTTAAGAGTTTTTGTCTGGTAGATGTTAAGATAATGAACTAATTCTGTCTGGACTTCTGGATTGCCACCTGAACCTTCTTAACCTTGTGTTTGTTTATTTGTAGAACAAACCAAGACACTGATGTTTTTTGAAGGCTGTCCACAGCACCTGGGCTGTACAATCAAGCTTAGAGGAGGCTCTGATTATGAGCTGGCTCGAGTTAAGGAGATCTTAATATTTATGATCTGTGTAGCTTATCATTCTCAACTAGAAATCTCCTTCCTCATGGATGAATTTGCTATGCCTCCTATGTTAACGCAAAACCCTTCCTTCCATTCTCTGATTGAGGGACAGGAGGATGAAGGGGCTGCACAGGAGCCGTTCAGCGGAAGTCCCCTCCCCCGGGAGCCTGACATCCCCCTGGACTTTCTGCCTTCTGATGATGGCAGTTTGCTAGAATCAAGGATTCTGTTTGAGAAGGGTGAACAAGAAAATAAGAGCATGCCACAGGATGTTGCCTCTTTGAAGCCTCAAGAGCATGCCCCAGCAGCTTGCCCGGTGGGTGCCCCCTGCGCCCTCTTCCCATCAGTACCAGAGTCATTGCTGCCGCTCCATGTGGATGACCAACAGGACGCCATAGGCAGCGAGCAGCCAGAGGCTTTGCAGCAAACAGAGGACCTTCCGGATCCCACAAGCCAGATGAGAGCCTTTAGAGACCCTCTGCAGGATGACACCGGCCTGTATGTTACCGAGGAAGTTACCTCTTCTGAAGATAAACGGAAGACTGATTCTTTGACCTTTAAACAAGAGTTGAAAGATGTGATCCTCTGCATCTCACCAGTCATCACATTCCGGGAGCCATTCCTTTTAACTGACAAGGGTATGAGATGCTCTACCCGAGATTATTTTGCAGAGCAGGTTTACTGGTCTCCTCTCCTCAATAAGGAGTTCAAGGAAATGGAGAGCAGGCGGAAGAAACAGATGCTTAGGGATCTCTCTGGCCTTCAGGGCATGAATGGAAGTGTTCAGGCCAAGTCCATTCAAGTCCTACCTTCACATGAGCTCGTGAGCACCAGAATTGCTGAGCATCTCGGTGACAGCCAGAGCTTGGGGAGAATGCTAGCTGATTATCGGGCCAGAGGAGGAAGAATCCAGCAAAAACATTCAGACCCTTTTGCTTACTCAAAGGAGGCGTCGAGTACCTCAAGTGGCAAATCAGGAAGCAGAACTGAAGGTGATGAAGAAAAAGGGTTGATTACAAGTGATGCAGTGTGGTCGACAAAGGTGAGCAAGACCGCTTTTGTGCTTGTGTACATTTAAGATGGGTGGAAAATCTCTGCTATGGCAGGGTAAAAGAGTCAGATATGACAGCTTGCATGCAGATTTACTAAATATTTCATCTGTGCTTTTTTCTTTTTTTTGGTCTCTTTTGTCTTACGTGTTGCTTTAAAATGTATGAAATAGGAGTGTAATGTGATGAAACTGGATTTGAGGGTTTCAGGCTAAGCTCACAGAAAACTCGGAAGAACTCTGAGGTGGGAGGCAGTGCGGAGCTGCTGAATATTTCTGACATGATGACTTGGGTGTAATGTGATGTGTCTTTGATCCTTTTAATGGTAGCCAGTGGGAGAGTAGAGTTGGAAGCTTATTATAGGAAATGGGTGTGTTTTTTTCCTTATTATAGGAAATTATAGGTGATAAAACTCATGAACAAATCCATCTTTTGAGGAGGAAATACAGTTGTTTAATAAAACAAGTAGATGTTCACTGTCACAAGTCTAGGAAGGATTAAATAATGGTAGTATATTGTTTTTAGTACATGAAACTGGAAAGAAGGAATGTGATAAGAGCCATGTTTAATGAAGTATGGGAAAATGCTTACAATAAACTTTATATAAATATGTATTTTATAATTTATGTAAACTTATTAAAAGTGATTTGGGGGTCTTAAATTTACATGAGCACATATATATTTTTGATTCATGATTTCTATCTTTTATAACTCATTCCTTGTACATTATCTACAAAACACAGATAAGTAAGCATTTTGTGTAAGGATGCTTACATTTTATTGTAATGTATGTACAAGGATATTTACTGAAGTGGTTATTTCTGACTGACTGCTGCTAAAAGGATGAGTTGGATCTCATTGAATGACCCAGAGAGAGCCCATGACATATTTTCTTGTGTTAAAAAGGAGATTGTGTTTTAATATATGTAGTATCATCCCATTTTTATAAAAAAGCAGAATCACCTGTGTATACTTCTGTGGGTGTTTTCATGTGTATATGTGTATGAGCTAGTGCAAATATATGATTTTTAACCACACAGTCAAATTTATCAGTTTGGGAGGTGGGGCAGCTTCAGAGGAGGAGAGGCTTTATGTACTTCGGGGTCTTTTGCATCTTCCTCTGAAATGTTTAAATTTTGACAGAGACAGTTGTTACCTTTGTAATGATCAAAAGCAGGTATAAAATACAAATAAATAAATACCTTAGAATTTAGATTTCTGGGTATCTCAGGTTGAGATTATATCCAGCTATCAATTCAGACTGTCATATTTAAATAACAACTCGTAAAATAATTTAATGCCTAGTTTTGTAAAAATAAAGAATAAGAAAACAAGTTATTTAGACATGTTTGCATTTTTAAACCTTTTGGATTGTTTTAACTTAAAAATTAACCTCTCTTCTTCCTTATATTTAGCTCCCTGTAGTTGTCGGTCTTCACTGGAACCCCGGTAGTGCTGATAGAGGCTTACAAACCGAATGGCGTGTTGGATGTTGGAGGCGGGCGTTGGAGCTGGAGTCTCACCCGGCTGTCCCTTCTCTTCCAGGTGGACTGTCTGAGCCCTGTCAACCACCAGAGGCTGTGCGTGCTCTTCAGCAGCTCTTCTGCCCAGTCCAGCAACGCCCCCAGTGCCTGCGTCAGCCCTTGGTAGGACCCCTTCCCTCCCTGGCATGTTGCACTTAGGAACAGAATTCCAGCAGTTGTGAAAAAAATTCAGCCATTGGGCTGTGTAGGTGCATGGCAAGCTGCTGGTCATATGTGAATTGATGGAACTTTTGAACTTGTAAATTAAATTATGAAATTTGGATTTGTTCATGGGTAGAAGTAAATAAAAGTATGTTAAGAGTGAAGAGGGATGCAAGAACAGTTTGTAATTATAAAAAAGTGAAAGTTGATACATAAAAGCTAGTGTTAAGCACTTTGATAACATGCACGAATCAAACAGGTTTTCTTTGGGCATTGTTTTCATTAAAGTGGTCAGTTTTTTGCCTTAAGTTTTATTCTAAAACTTAATTCCAAGTAGATTGATAGAAACACATTTTATAATGTTATAATTTGTTTCCAATGATAGTCACAAAGCCTAGTTATTATACAGTTTACCTCTGGTCTTAAGTACTATAGAACATAACTGCTTGTTTTTGGAGTACTGGCCACAACAAAATGTCTTCCATATTTTAATTTTGGACACCAGAAACACTCATTTCTACCAGTGAGATCAGGGCGTCTTCTACATTGGTGTTGCTCTACCAGGCTGACTTGGGTCTGGTTGAGCCCATGGGAATTTTCTCTGGGAATTTAGGTCGAGGCTTGAGTAAGATGTCAGTTTTAAAAGGGTATGTGTGGCTGAACTCTCTTATTTAGGTGTAAAGTTGGATGTAAATTTAGGACCTGGCTCTCCTGGAAGAATATGAGCTGCTGCTCTTCCTGTTCAGTAATGGTTTAGACTGGAGAGCAGAGACAGGAGTCCCATTTTATAGTGATGAAGTTTAAAGCTTTGTAAAGGAAACTTGTACTTCTTCCTAACACAAATCAGACTAACCCATTTAATGTTATTGTTTATGTATCCTGATTAAATAGTTTCATAAGATACTAATGGACTGGGAATGGATACGATGCTGTAATATGGTAGTCCAAACCCATTATATCAGATAAGGTAAAACCTGTTCTGTAACAACAAAAGAATATTACCTGTTTTGTTGGTAATAATACTGTATTACAAGTACATCTAACAGATACCAGTTTGGGGTCTGATGAAAATGTTTTTGCTGGGTTGTAATTTAATGATATGTTTCTAAGAAATGATCTTTTCTTTTAGGATTGTAACAATGGAATTTTATGGAAAAAATGATCTTACATTAGGAATATTTTTAGAGAGATACTGTTTCCGGTAAGAACCAGTTTTCTCCTTACGTTCTATTTATGTTTTTTTTGATGCACAGAATTTCAACATAAACATGAGTTGGAGCACTGTTGTTTGACCTTCCTGTTCATGCCTCACGTCAGGGCTTACTGTACAGAGAAGTGATCTGTTTTATATTCAACCCAGGAAGTCTTCTTCAGTTCATTTTTCAGATCCATGCCCATCTAATTGCCCTGCAGTCCTGCAGATTTTTTTTTTTTTTTAGAATGTGTGTTTTTACAGTGATTCAAATAAGAGACAAGAGAAACTAAGGACCTCAGTTGAAATCTTAGTGCCTTCGCTTGCCATTTTCATGATGAGGAGCAAGTAACTTAATCTTTGTGTGTACATGCTCAGTCGTGTCCAGCTCTTTGCGACTCCATGGACTGTAGCCCCCCAGACTCCTCTGTCCATGGAATTTTTCAGGCAAGAGTACTGGAGAGGGTTGCTGTTTCCTTCTCTAGGGGATCTTCCCAAATAAGGAATCTAATCCGCATCTCTTGCGTCTCCTGCAGTGGTAGGCAGGTTCTTTAGCACTAGCATCACCTGGGTTAGTCTTTACAAGTCCCCTTTATAGATATTAACAAACTCCACAAATGTCAAGAGTTTTAATAAGTAAAATGAGATGATGTTTTAGAAATGCTTGGCAAATGGAAGGTGCTTAACAAGTGGAACGTATCACTGTGATGTGGTTGAAGGTGCAGGGTGTTCAGCTCTCAGGCTCATAACAGGACGAGTGGTACTCTGAGCAGATCATCCACCATCATCCTTACTCTGGAGAGGATGCTGCACTTTCTCGTCTGCAGTCCTGATTAGCCAGCATTCACTATACATGGCTCCTCAGTTTCATGGTTAATGTGAGGACTTTCTTTTTGTCAAAGGCCTTCCTATCAGTGCCCTAGCATGTTCTGTGATACCCCCATGGTGCACCACATTCGACGCTTCGTCCATGGCCAAGGCTGTGTGCAGATAATCCTGAAGGAGCTGGATTCTCCGGTACCTGGATATCAGCATACAATTCTCACCTACTCCTGGTGCAGAATCTGCAAACAGGTAAGTGTACCTTGTTGCTGTCCTATTTCATGTAGTATCATTTCTTTCTATAGTTCTTTTTGTGGGGGAGTATCAAAGACCAGATAAATGTTCATGCCCTTCTTTGACCTACCAGTTTTTATTAATTTATTGCAAGGAAATTGTTATGGATACTTATAAGCGTGTTTATATATACCTTCATTGAAAAGTTCATCAAAATAATGCAAAGCTTGAAATGTTTTAAATGCCGAGACAGTTTCCGTAACCATCCCTCACCCCACCCACCTCTAATTTTTTTTTTTCTTGTTTTCTGCAGTCAGAATATACTAGACTTGTACTAAACAAGAAAATGCATTTTTTTTTTAAAGAGATTCTTAGTATGTGATTAGATAACAAACAATGTATGCTGAATTTCAGGTAACACCAGTTGTCGCTCTTTCCAATGAGTCTTGGTCCATGTCATTTGCAAAATACCTTGAACTTAGGTTTTATGGGCACCAGTATACTCGCAGAGCCAATGCTGAGCCGTGTGGTCACTCCATCCACCATGATTATCACCAGTATTTCTCCTATAACCAGATGGTGGCATCTTTCAGGTAAGAAGCCTGAGCAACCTTGTCACAGACACACACTCCCTGGAAGGCTTTGTCGCATTTCCACTGTTACTAGATTGAACTCACTTTTGGTGTGTGCTGTTCCCTCCCCATCAGCCTTGCAAATACAGGGCCATACCCTGCGAAGAGCTTTCAGTGCTATTATTGTATTTAATCCATTAAGAAATGTGTTACTATTACCCTGACTTAGAGACCTTACAGCTACCTAATAGAGCTAACAAGTGATGGAGTCATGATATAAACTGGTAGATTTGCTATTGCAGGTGTGACTCTTAACCATTGGTTTTGCATCTGAGAGCCTGTCAGAATTTTTGCTAAGACATTACTTAGCATAAGGATAATTGGATAGAGCTGGATAGAGATGAAATCACTAGTTCAAAGAATGGTTTTAAATGATTGAGAAAGCTCTCAGAATATATCCAGAATCTAGGGACTTCCCTGGTGGTCCAGGGGTTAAGAATCTGCCTGCCAACACAGGGGACATGAGTTTGATCTCTGGTCCAGGAAGATCTCATGTTGTGGAGCAACTAAGCCCATGGGCCACAACTGCTGGGCCTGCCCCTAGAGCCTGCGCTCTGCAACAAGGAAGCTAACCGCAATGAGAAGCCCACGCACAGCAGCAAAGACCCAGCATAGCCATATATATATATGTATATATATCCAGAATCTGAACGTATCTCACCACCTCCAGCACTCCCATTCTGAACTGAATCTCTGTCGTCCTTCCCTAGATTATTGCAATAACCTCAACCAGCTTCCCTTTAGCCTCACCCTGCAGCAGAGCAGTCAGAGTGGTCCTATTACATGAAAACCAGCTTAGGCCACTCCTGTTCTCTGGAGGCTCCAGCGGTCTGTTTCACCCCGAGTGAAAGCCTGAGACCATTTATGGGCCTCTAAGCCCCTCATACTCAGGCTTCTCACCCCCACTCCTCTCCCCTCGCTCCCTGTATTTCAGCCTTGCTGGCCTCCAGGCTGGGCCTCAGTTATGCCAGCTAACCTCCTTCCTGGGAGCCTCTCATTGCTCTTCCATCTCTGTGCTGCTGCTTCTAGACATTTGCTTATTTTTCCTTACTTTTTTCAGATCTTTGTTCAGATTTCACCTGCCTTGACTTCTTCTCACCCCTAGCACTCCTTGCTTCTTTTTCGCCCTTTATTTTGCCCTGTAGCACCTACTCTCTGGCATAAGGTATGTTTTAAGTATTTGTTTTTATTTATTGCCCAAATCTTGTTGTTCCTGAATCATGAGAGCAGGAATTTTGGCCCTTGCTCAGCACCTAAAACAGCATCTGACACATAATAGGTCCTCAGAAAATATTTGTAATTGAACCTATTTCCTTTTTTAAGCAAGAGCTATTAACCATGAACCTAGGGCCTAGGTTGGATATAGCATTTACTAGACAACATGAACTTCAGGTGGAAAGCAAACTCATGAAGAATCCTTGAGAGCTGAGAAGGTAGTGAATGAATACCTGTGTCTAAGCTGATTGTAGGAAGGAGTTCCTCTCTCTTCATGGAGGTTTATATCCCAGTCATTTGTTTTTAAAGCACACGAGGGTGGCCTCGGGATAAATGATGATAGCACAATGCAGGGGGGAAACAACACAGAACATATTTTTAAAACTGGGAAGGATATTGGTAATGATTGAAAGGGGTCTTCAGTATTTTTGGTTGTTTGAAAATGCCATTTTATAGAAACTTTATGATCTCTTATGCCCATAAGACTTAGTTGGCTGTCATGATACACTTCTACTCAAAATACTAAAATATTTTTCACTTTTCTGCTATTACTTGTGTTTTCTCCTCTCAGTTATTCTCCCATTCGGCTTCTTGAAGTGTGTGTTCCACTTCCCAAAATATTCATTAAACGTCAAGTCCCATTAAAAGTGTCCCTTCTTCAGGATCTGAAGGACTTCTTTCAAAAGTAAGTTTCATTTTCTTTGATCATCTGTTTTTGTTTAGTACTGCCTGAAATCTAAACTATTTTAAATATCTTGTTTGTTCATTCAGCTTTCTTTGAAAACAGAAATAAACTGTTTTTCTAATTGTATGTTTTATATGTCTGATGTAGAAATGGGAAAATGTAGACAATACACAAAAGTATTAATAAAGAAATCGGACTCTCCCAAGCATAACAACTGTTAAATTTTGATGTACATCCTTTCAGGTCTTTTTTGTTTTGCAAAATTATATGTGATTCTTAGTTAGATAAGCTCTTACTAAAGTTCTGTGTACATCTTTTTTCTACTTTTTAAAAAATTTTGTTTATTTTAATTGGAGGCTAGTTACAATATTGTAGTGGTTTTGCCCATCTTTTTTATACTTGTGTGAGATTAGACAGTTTGATTCTAACTTTTCTAAAATGTTTAATGTTTGTTAAGAGTTTCACAGGTATATCTTGCTGTGGATGAAAGACTTGCATCTTTGAAAACTGATACATTTAGCAAATCAAGAGAGGAAAAAATGGAAGATATCTTTGCACAAAAAGAGGTAATTCATTTTTTTGACAGAAACCCAGCAGTCAGTTGTGAACTTGTTAGAAGTTCCCTTTGGGGTGCGTCTAAGATTGCTGGAGCGGTTTTTGTCCCCCTAGATGGAAGAAAGCGAGTTTAAGGGCTGGACTGAGAAGATGCAGGCGCGGCTCCTGTCTTCCTCTGTGGAGACCCCCCAGCAGCTGCAGTCAGTCTTCGAGTCGCTCATTGCCAAGAAACAGAGCCTCTGTGAGGCGCTGCAAGCTTGGAATAACAGGTGTGACTCTGCAATCAGGTGTTTCTTTCATATTGTTGCAAAGTGTGCTCTGCCAGGATGTTTTTGATTTAAATGTCCTTATTAGTTGTGTATGTTGCCTTTTACTCTCAAGTTGTAGGAGGTTTTATTTTTATCGCTCCTACCACCCTCCACTTCTTTCATCCTTTAAAGTGCAGTTTGCAAAGATACAAAAAAAAAAAAAAAGATGAGAATAGCTGTTTCAAATACAGTATGTGTGCTAACTGAATCTAATTTATCTGTAATAGTAAACCATGGAGTAATTATTGGGTGTTAGGCCATGAGTTTCAACTGATTGTTTTGTGTATTTTATACCTGTATTTAAATATTTATTTGGGGAAATTGTTTCCTTTTAATGCATATTGAAAAGTTCAATTGGATTAGTGTAGCATTTATTTATTGAGCACTTGGATGATGCTGGGCACTAAGTCAGGCACCAGATGGACATGCACTCTTTTATCTGATTTTGAATCCCACATGTGTATATACTGCTTTCATTTTACAGAGGAAACTGTGGCTCTACGAGACTAAGGGATTTGCCCAAGTTAAATAGCTGTTGATTTTCAGAGCTGGGCTTTGAGCCTTGGTCTGTTGGTCTCATTATAACTTGCTGTTCTTTTCTAACCATAACCATATCAATAATAACTGATTAGTTGATTAGAAATAAAACAAAACTTAGTTATGTACATCTGTAAAATCTATTGCTTTTGAAATAGGAAAATTAATTATTATGGTTTCAAAGCTATAAGGAGAATATGTGTATGCATTATTCAGGATATTAGAAAGAAAACCATGTCCTTCTTTTCACTTTTCCTTTTTTTCTTTAATTGTAGGCTGCAAGACCTTTTCCAACAAGAAAAGGGTAGGAAGCGGCCTTCAGTTCCTCCAAGTCCTGGAAGACTGAGACAGGGTGAAGAAAGCAAGGTAATGTTGTTTTGTCTTGGGGTCTTTACTGTGATAAATACAATAATTTCTCTTGGAACACTTAGAAGTGGTAATTGAATACATACTTTATTGATGATATTAGCGTTTTTAATTTTGAAGCTGTCAGGTTTCTTGGTGTGACCTGGATTAATTTTTTTTTATCTTTGCCTGAAATAAAATACATTATAATTCATTTATTTGAAATACTTATCAAAAACTGCTGTCTACTGACATCACTGAGGATAGCATCACAGAGGCAATAGGTGCTGTGAAGGAGAAGGTGTGGATGCCCTGGGTGTGTAACACAGTCCTATTTTACTATGAATTTTGGGTGTTCTTTATCTCTGTGCTTAAGTGAGAAGATTTTCTTAAGAGGCTGTACCAGGTTAGTTCTATATGGTGGTTTAATTAATCTTGCCTAACTGTGTTAGTTTTCTCCTGCTGTTTAACACCTTACCCCAAACTTAGTGACTTAAGACATAAATCTGTTATCTCACAGTGTGTCGGGACTCTGGCAGAGTATGTGGCTGGGTTCTTTGCTCATTCTCATGGCTGAGATGAAGGTTTGGCCGGGGTGGTTATCTGAGGCTCAGGATCTTTTCCCAGGCTCATCTAGGTTGTTGGCAGAGTTCAACTCTAATGGTTATAGGACTGAGGTCCCCTTTTCGTTGCTGGCATTTGACTAGAGGCAAGTCTCAACTCCTCGAGACTGCCTGATTCTTTGCGCGCGGCCCATTTCATCTTCAAAGCCTACAGCAGTGGATTGAATCCTTCTCGTGCTTCAGATCTCTTGAGTTCTGTGTCTCACGTCTGGACACAGATTTAAAGGACACGTGATTAGCAGGTCAGGCCACCTGCTTCATTTCCCTAGTTTAAGGCTAACTGATTTGAGATCTTACATACATGATAGAATCCCTTCGCAGCAGTATCTGGATTCATGTTTGATTGAAGTGTGTGGTATGTGTGTGTGTATGTGTCCCAGAGTGTGCAGTTCTTTGGGATCATCACCAAATTCTGCTACTGTGCTAACCATGAACAGATGAATTAACGTCAGTATATTTTAAGGACTTACTATTCTGATACCATGAGGGCTTTTGAGAGAATGTTTCTTTTGTACAAGTTTATAGTACTTGTAGCAGAGTATTTTCACGGAATGATGGGTCCAAGTGCCTTAGATCTTTGTGTTATTTAGGAACACTGTGTCACTGAATTCTCCTTTTTGTCTCATAAATAACTGTGTAGGAATCACTTTTCTTTAAAGTTTGGGTGAGAATAAGAATTATGAAGATGATTTATTAGTATTTCCAAGTAGTCTGGGACTGTTAATGACTCTCACACACTGCTAGAGGCCTTTCTGTTTGCCTACTGATGAAACTTTGAAGCTAGTGCTGTAAGACCTTTGCTTAAAATATGGAGACATGGAACAGAAAATATAAAATCAGTCAATAAGTGATTTTCTTTTTGAAAGATTGAAAGTTGATTTGAAAATCTGTAGCATTGCCTTTGTGTTTATATTCATTCATTTGATAAATACTTATTGAGTGCTTTTAGACACTGTTCTGAGTGCAGGGCTCTCAGGGTTCACAAACGTGAACACGAAAGTTCACATTTGTGGGTGAAGGCCATAGTTATTGTTCCCATGGAACATTTGTTTGTGAGATTGACAATAAACAGATGAGCCAATAAACATTTAAAAAACAAGTGGAAACAAAGCTATGAGGAAAAAATTAACGAGAAATGGAGAGTAATGCCAAGGGAGCAGGTGATGATGAGTTATTTTATGTAGGATGACCAGGGAGGTCTCTGTTTGGGTAAGCAAATCAAAAGACATTGTAAGTAGCAATGTAAGAAATGACTTTTAATGACATTGTACACAGGGCTGACAATCATTTAAATATATATTTTATCAATGGATTATGGGACTTGAGAAAGTCCGATGGATAACAAAAGGTTGCTGGGCTTAATGGATAATCATAAGTAGTTCCTGGATATTTTATTGAGTCTGTGAGCTACTGTTTAGAGCGGTATTCTCAAAATGTAGTTCAAGGACCCCAGAGGTCCTAGACCCTTTCAAGGGCTCTGAGAGATTTCCCTTTTTCAACTACATAACTGTGTAAGGCTAGATTATAAGTTCAGTCATAATAATACAGCTCAACAGATTAAATGCAGAAGTCAGAGAGGATTTTAACTGTCTTCTATTAAAAGAAGACTTTAGTGTCTCCTAGACATTAAAGTATTTGTAAAAGCATAAAACAAGGCCACTCTTACCAATTAAAAAAATCTGTTTTTAATTAAAATGTGTTGTTTATAGTAATATGTAATGGGTTTATTATTATTTTTAAATGAATCAGTATTAATAATTCTTAAGAGTTTGAAAGAGTAAGATTCACTTTGTTAAAAAATTTTTTAGTGTGATTTTAACATTTCCTTAAGAACAGAATATTTCCTTCTCTACAGATAAGTGCAGTGGATGCATCTCCACGGAATGCTTCTCCAGGACTTCCAAATGGAGAAAAAGGTTGGTCCTTGAGTCTAGTGATCACCTGTCATTGAATTTAAAGATGTTTCTTAGTCTAAAAGTTGTTTTAAACACTAAATTTTGAGAATTTTTTCTGATGCAGTTGGTCAGAGACATTTTTTTCCTTGCCGTAAAGCATTTGTAAGCAGTGTCAGTTTAAGATTATTATAACATACATTGCCTAAGTTAGGATGGAGAAATAGATGATCAATAGTGAAGCGAGTGAAAGTCGCTCAGTAGTGTCTGACTCTTTGCAGCCCCATGGACTCTACAGTCCATGGAATTCTCCAGGCCAGAATATTGGCATGGGTAACCTTTCCCTTCTCCAGGGCTTTCCCAACCCAGGAATCTAACCCAGATCTCCCTCATTGCAAGTGGATTCTTTACCAGCTAAGCCACCAGGGAAGCCCAAGAATACTGGAGTGGGTTAGCCTATCCCTTCTTCAGTGGATCTTCCCAACCCAGGAATTGAACCAGGGTGTCCTGCATTGCAAGCAGATTCTTTACCAGCTGAGCTACCAGGGAAGCCAGATGATCAATAGAGAAGGCTGCCTTTTAGGGGAAGAACAGAAAGATGAAAGGAAACTGAATTTGTGTCTTGATTGTGCTACAGTTAAGTCCCTCGTTTCATAGGAAAAAGAAAATCTTAGCTTAGTTGATATTTTATAGCACTAAAATCTTTTCTAGACTTAAGCTGTTTTTCCTCAGCTTATTTCATTGAATAACTTGGTGTCACTGTAGGAAATTGGAAGGGAAATTTACTTAGACTATCTTGGTAGAAGAGAAACTCAACTTGGAATTCTTGGCATTTTTCTATTATAATTAAGTGAATTTCCCCCTTGAGAATAAACATGTGATTTTTTTTCCCCTCAATAGTGTCATAATTTCATTCCTTATTAAGTTGAATGAACAAAATATTTAGGTAGGCATTATGAAAATGAAAAGTCACTCAGTCATGTCTGACTCTTTGTGACCCCATGGGCTAAAATAAAAAGTTCATGGAATTCTCCAGGCCAGAGTATTGGAGTGGGTAGCTGTTCCCTTCTCCAGGGGATCTTCCCAACACAGGGATTGAACCCAGGTCTCCTGCGTTGCAGGCAGATTCCTTACCAGCTGAGCCATCAAGGAAACCCAAGAATACTGGAGTGTGTAGCCTATCCCTTCTCCAGGGTATCTTCCTGACCCGGGAATCAAACTGGAGTCTCCTGCATTGTAGGCAGATTCTTAACCAGCTGAGCTACTAGGGAAGCCCAGGCATTATGGTCCAGTGCAGGGAGTATTGGAGTGGTACTAGACTTGGTTGCCAGTCATCCTGCTGTCACTAAGTTAATCTGATGATGGTCTAGTCATATAACCTGCCTGGATTTTTGTATCCATTTCTAAAATTTCTGAAACTCATTTGTGAAATGACCTATGTAACTTGATTGAAGAAGCTAAGATTCTTTGGTTTATGAAGTAGAAAAAGGTTTTGTCATTTTAAAAACATTGTTATTAGGTAGAAATGGACGTGATGTTTTAAAGTGGCTCATGTGCATGGTGTTTTTCTTTAGAGGACCGCTTCTTGGCCACCCTGTCCAGTCAGAGCTCCACCAGTTCCCCCCATCTCCAGCTGCCCACTTCTCCTGAAGGCGTGTCTGAGCAGGCCATGGGAGGGCCCCCCGAACTCGATACTGCCAGCAGTTCTGAAGGTACAGGTCAAGTCACTATCTCTGTACTTCGTCTAGTAGAGACAAACACTCTGAGTTCTGGGGCACAATGCTTTCTTAGCCCTTGGGATTTAAAATTTTTACCATTGAAAGTGCTCCTTTAGATGTAGCTTTTTACCATATCCCTTCTTCAGTTGCACTGCTTGAGTGTCTCAGTAACAAATACTATTCAACTTTATCTACTTTCTGGGGATATTTATTTTCTTAAGTCTCATAAAACACACGATTGTTCCCTTACAAGAAAGAAAGAAAAATTGCAACCACTTCTGCAATGACAAACATTTGTTTCGCCAGTAATAGATGTATGCCTTTTCCCTTTCTTTCCTTGCTTTCTGTTTAAGCACCAACTACTTAATTGTAGTGCAAACTTTAAACATAACTTTTAAATTGCAATTAAACTCAGATGTAATAGCCATAGTACTCATAACTGAGTTGAAGTGCCAACAGGAACAGCTGGGACTGAGTTCATGTGTGCTTGGCCAGTAATTTCACCATGGCTCCTGCCTGGCCCCTTGAGGGTAAGAGGCCATTGATTGCAGGATGATCTCAACTTCAAACATGTTGAAATGTAAAAAAAATAAGCCCCTTGGGGTCAGAGCTGTGTATGCTTCATGGTTGCTTCCTGTTAGATAGTCATTATTCCTAGATCAAAAATTTTACACCATAATTGGTAATTATGGTGTACCCATGTCTGTGTTCCAAAAGGAAAAGAAATATAGTTGACACTTTATACTTTTACTCTTCCTGAATATTAATACATAAGTAGAATATTTTTCATTCTAGATGTATTTGATGGACATTTGCTGGGATCTACAGACAGCCAGGTGAAGGAAAAATCAACCATGAAAGCCATTTTTGCAAATTTGCTTCCAGGAAATAGCTATAACCCTATTCCATTTCCTTTGTAAGTATTGTATAAGCCAGTGGCTGTTGGGTGGTTTTATTTTCACTTCATTTTAAAGATTTATCTATGGATACACTGGAGAAGGCAATGGCAACCCACTCCAGTACTCTTGCCTGGAAAATCCCATGGGCGGAGGAGCCTGGTAGGCTGCAGTCCATGGGGTCGTGAAGAGTCGGACACGACTGAGCGACTTCATTTTCACTTTTCACTTTCCTTCATTGGAGAAGGAAATGGCAACCCACTCCAGTGTTCTTGCCTGGAGCATCCCAGGGACGGTGGAGCCTGGTGGGCTGCCGTCTATGGGGTTGCACAGAATCAGACACGACTGAAGCGACTTAGCAGCAGCAGCTATGGATATACTCTCCATATTTAAATATGTTTATTTAACTTTATATATGTATTTCTCAATCCAAAATTACCCTCCATTGCCATAAAAGAGTTGTCTTTTTCTATAATGTACTTTGTGGAACGTGTAGTCTTTATATATTAACAGTAGATAAGTAGATTAATAAAGAATTGCTTTTATATATATATATACACACACACACACACACATTTTAAAAGATATACTGCTACATTGAGGGCAGGAGGGGAAGGGGGTGACAAAGGATGAGATGGTTGGATAGTATCACTGACTCAATGGACTTGAGTTTGAGCAAACTCCGGGAGATAGTAAAGGACAGGGGAGCCTAGCATGCTGCACAGTTCATGGGATTGCAAAGAGTTGAACATGACTTAGCGATTGAATAACAACAACAATTGATCTCATGATCATAAAAACATATTGCTGATTGTATATGAGGGTATTAGTGACCCAGTACTTTACTGGGACATGGTGCTTTTCTAACAGTGGTGATGAATTGCAATGGCCCATGCAAGTTTTTGTGTAATCTTGTTCGTACCAGGTTCTCTCACAGTGGGGAAAAAACATAGGCTGGCTGTGAGAGTTTTTCTTCTACTGGTTGACATGTCTGATTATCAGCTTATGATGCTTGGTCCAGTGAAACAGATGTATCCAAAAGATGGACCTTTGTTAATTTTATTCTCAACTGACTTCTGTATTTATTTATTCAGCTAATGTTTAAACTTATGGAGTGTCAGCTTTAATGCCTCAGGATGTAGAGAAAGATCAATAAGGGAGACTCCTGCTCTCAGAAGCTCATGTCTTGAGCTGTATGTTCTGTGGTATAAATGTGTAAAAGGCCTCTGTTTTCTCTGCTTCAGGCTTGAATAGTTTATGTCATTTACTGCTGGATTAGTGGTACATTTCCACAATTTCCAGAAGACTTTTCTTTCAAACTTATAGTAGAACAAAATCTCTTAAACTTCTGCTATTCATTGTAAATACTTCTTGAGATAAATATGGCCCATTGTCTTGCCAATGTAGAAAACTTTGTTTGATGATTCTAGGACCCTCTGATTGGAAAAACAGTTCTGATAATTTTCAGTTGCCTTTAAAAACTTTCTGTTGATCTATTTTCCTTGGCTGTTTGTTCAGGTTCTGCATACATTTTGGCTTAATTATGTTCATGTAATTGTGCATTATTTAGTTAACTTAAAATTGTCCTGAGATTTGCTTGTAATTGTGCTAATGGGTCATATATGTGGTTTTCTGCTAATTTTGTTCTGATTTATTTGTTTTTGAACAGCGATCCAGATAAACACTACTTAATGTATGAACATGAACGCGTGCCCATTGCAGTCTGTGAGAAGGAGCCCAGCTCCATCATTGCCTTTGCTCTCAGGTATTACTCATGGGGCTTTTTCACCTGTGTTTGTATTTTTATATTTTATGTGTATTTATTTATTAATTGCTGTATTGTTGAGCTCTGTTACATAGAGTAGAGCAAAATATAAGTAAATGTAAAGTAGTAAATAAAAGTACAGAATATATATCCTTTGGTTGTGACAGTTTATTCTTTTTATATCTGGTAATGTACTGTTTACCCAAATATTAACAGGATGATTCTTAAGCAAGCTCCTAATAATTAAGTTAACTAGGCAAGTTATTTGCTAATTCTTATATCCTTTGTCCATTCTCTATAATACGTGTCCATTGTCTCCTTTCCTTTGGTTTATTTATTGATATAATACTTGGAACATATCTGCCTTATATCCTCTGAATATCTTTTTTGTATTCTTCATTCATTTCCTTCCTGCTTCCCACACATAGAAGGTAAAGTTTCCTTAGAGTAATGCTGTTCCTATGCCTTAACTCATTTACATGCCCACAGTTATGTGTCTTAAAGAAGGACCCCTGTTTAAAAATCTTTATATATCATGTCTAAAATAACAAAGCTTTTTAATCTTAATGATGTCTTGGCAGTGATAGTACCTAGTTTGAGTAGAATCTAAGATGTTTAATAAAAAAAGTTTTTTTTCCCTATTGAAAGACATTGAAATTAAAATTTTATTTTTAATATTGGTTACAAGTTGTCTACTTGTTCAACAAATATTTGAATGTTGCAATGTGTGGTATACTGGGTACTGGGTTTAAGGAATAAATAAGATATATTTATAGACTTCAGCATTTATGGAGTTTAGAGTTACTATTTGGATAATAAGGAATTTTTTCCTTTAGAAGATTCCATATGATACATGCTTTTATCATTGCCTTTTGATGTTCATTAAGTATTGGCTTCTCATTTTATTGCTTAGTTATACTACATGAAAAGCGGGAAAGTCAACCAAAAAAAACATGTGTTTTGTACTATTAGGAAGCAGGTTTTCTAGCTGACGTCACCTTTTTCTAATATCTTGGAAAAATAATACATGCTCGCATCTGATTTATCCAAGTCAGGGCTCCCAGGCTGCTAGTTGGATTTTGTTGGACAGTGCAACCTTAAAATGAAACATTTTAAAATGAAGCGTTTTTTTCCTTAAAGTTTAGTACTTTTAAGTTGAAAAGCACTCTCAAGTCCCTTTCCTCTCTATTACACTAAATGGTGAAGTTTCATGCTTTTCAATTAGCTGTTCAACCCCTGAAGGCATTTGATCTAAATGTTAGTATGAAGGCCTTCACAATCATTGTTTAGGATATTGAGTCTGGTTGGTGTGTTGGATTATATTTTGTATTATTTTTTGGTGAATATATTGACTTTCTTCATGAAGCTTCTACTTGATAACTTTTGTTAGTTAATTCTAATGTATTTGTCTAAGTACATTAGATGTGGATGCTTATAAATGTTTGTGTTTTTATAATGCAAAGCTTATTCTAAAGCATATAATTTACTTTAAAAGAAGACCTTAATGTTTAACATATTTCAACCTGTTTCTATCCTAAGCTGTAAAGAATACCGGAATGCCTTAGAGGAATTGTCCAAAGCCACTCAGCGGAACAGTGCTGAAGAAGGGCTTCCAACAAACAGGTGATCTGTGATTGAGGAAAATTTATTTTAATTGAACTGTATCATTTTCTAGGTGTTCCTATTTGAGTTTTATTACAACTTATTGTTGATATAAAAGTTTCTAGAATATAACCTGTGGCACTCATTTTTTAGCCAGTAGTTGACAGAACAAAATTCAGGTATAGCAAAAGACCATAAAAAAGTCTGCTAGGTTACAGTTTTCTTATAATTGTCATAGAAGTTCAAAGTGTATTGCATATTTACATTTTTAAGTTTTTAAGTTCTCTTTGCTGTTAATATTTAAAAAATATTAACTTCTGAAATTGGTAAACTACTGCCTAACTTCGTACTTTAAATAATTTAAGAGTTTTCCGTAATAATGAAAGATCTTAACAACTAAAAAACAAAGCAAACCTCTGCCAAATCAGCTCTTTAAGTATTTTCAGTATTTTGGGTATTTGAGACAGAAATTGTCATAATTGTCACCATTGACTTATGGGTGCTATAATATAGCTCTGATAGACTTGAGAAAAATATTTTAAGACCCTGTACTCTTATAGCTTTAACATTTTTCGTTTTCTTAAAAGTCTGGTATACATTTCAAGACTTTTTCCTCCATGCTAACCTGTGTTTATATAAATTATGAACCAGATTTCTGATATTGTGGGTGGGGTTAGGTGGAAAGTAGATTCATACAGGAATTAGAGTACTTGTTATTTTGTGTCTGAATCATGTAAAACCAACTTTTCTTCTGTTTCTCATTTTAGTACTTTAGACAGCAGACCAAAGAGTAGCAGCCCAATTAGATTACCTGAGATCAGTGGAGGACAGACAAACCGTGCCGTAGACGCAGAACCACAACCAAGTAAGATTACAAGTGGAGAAGTACTTGTGTGTGTAATTGTGGTTTGGAGAGGAAAACACATTAAGTAAGAAACGCCTTCTGGCAAGGACTTATTATTTCTGATCTTTGAAATATAATATGGATGTAAAATTTTTATGTATCTTCTTTTGTGTATATTTCACTTTTCTTTGATTTTTAAGTTTTTGAGTTTGAAATGCCTAGAAGCATTTCATGCAAAAAGAAGGTCTATGCAAAAAGAAACAAGATTGGCCTTCTTGGCTGGAGCTTTCAGTTTAAAGCATGCAGCATAAAAAATATAACATCAGTTTTTTTTTTTGTTTGTTTGTTTTTGCAGCATTGTTGGCATTGTGAAAAGAACTTTTCATGTCCTATCTCCTTTAATTCCCACAATAACCCCATATTTGACATATCTCCATTTTTCAGAAAGTAAGTTAAGACTTAGATTAAGCATTTCACTCAAGGTTACACAGGTAGTGGGGAGCAGGGATTTGAAGTTGTGTCTCTTTGACTTTGTCAGTTAGGAATATTCCCTACAAGTAACAGAAAACCCAGTTGGTGATGGACAGGGGAGCCTGGCATGCTCCAGTCCATGGGGTAACAAAGAGTCGGACACAACTGAGTGACTGAACTGAACAGAAAACTCAAATGACTACTGGGGCTTACACAAAGGACAGTTTATTTTTCTAAAATAGCAACATCTGCAGGTGGGCAGTTTCAGGCATTGGTTCAGCTACTTAGCTTTGTCATGACAACATAGGGGTTAGTTTCTCTTTGATTCTCTTAAATTTTACTCGTAATCAGAGATGTCCCACCTAATGTCTGCATTTGAGGCAGAAGGAAGGGAGGTACAAGCTTCTGCTCTTCCTTTTTATTAGGAAATTCCCTTTCCTTTTCAGTCTCATTGGTTAGAACTGAGTCTCATGGCCACCCTTTCCTGTAAAGGAGACTGAGAACGTGGTGAGCAGCGTTGTCCTGGCTAGCTTATACAAATCATGATTAATTTCCTGGAACACTGCATGCTGCTGCCCCAAAGAAAACTGGAGCTCTGTTAGCAAGGAAGAAGGTGGGATTGGATATTGAGGAGACTCTTCATAGTGTCTGCTACCCTAAGTAAGCACTTAATGATTGAGATTTGGTGAGGATTTTGTTAATAGTAAATGTACAAAGGGCTTCCCTGATATCTCAGTTGGTAAAGAATCTGCCTGCAATGCAGGAGACCCAGTTTCGATTCCTGGGTCAGGAAGATCCGCTGGAGAGGGGATAGGCTACACACTCCAGTATTCTTGGGCTTTCCTCGTGGTTCAGCTGGTGAAGAATCCACCTGCCATGTAGGAGACCTCGGTTAGATCCATGGCTTGGGGAGATTCCTTGGAGGAGGGAAAGGCTACCCCAAAATTAGGATCATATGTATTAATGATATGATGAGGCTCAAAAGGAAGAATAAAAGTATAGAGCAAGCTTTAGTGATACCTTTGGTCATCCTGTACTACTTATTTTTGAAAAATGCTAAAACTCAAATTATATATTTTGCTGTGTTAAAATATAGGAACACATGATATAAATATGTTACTTTTAACTTTGAATCCTCGTAGCTTGGAATGCTGTTCCTTATTAGTTTAATGAGGTGTACTGTAATACTATAAGAACCTAGTCCTATCTTAAACTTGTTGCTTAAGATACTGTGACAGCCTTGGAAAGAAATTTTTTAAAGTCTTTCTCTGTATTTAATAATTTCTCACATTTTGATGTGTAGCTATCTGAACGTTGCTTTTCTTCTGTTTTTGATAATAAGAGTGCTTGATTGCTCCCTAAAGCCCCCATAAACCATGTGGAATAATAATCTGTGCAAATGAATCTATCAGTGTTACTCTTATTTGTTACTTTCATATAATGGTTACTGCTTACACCGGAATGAATTGAAAATTTTTATTTTTCTACCTGCAGTGACCGGTACTTAATATGTTACCTCTTATTTTTAGCCAAAAAGGCTTCTGGAATGTTGTCCTTCTTCCGAGGGACAGCAGGGAAAAGCCCTGACCTCTCTTCCCAGAAGAGAGAGACCTTACGTGGAGCAGATAGTGCTTACTACCAAGTGGGGCAGACGGGCAAGGAGGGGACGGAGAATCAAGGCATTGAGCCTCAAGGTGTGTTGAAGGAGACCAAATGTGCTTGTTCTAGGCTTGGATTTACTTACTTCAGTTGGTTATGTTCCTTATAGCTTTAAGTAGATGCTTCTGCTGCAGAAACCAGGGCCTTCCTGCTCTTGTCACACCATGGTGGGGTCAAGTGGGAAAAGCCTGGTGCTGGGAGAATCCAGCTGGTTTCAGGTATCACTGTTCTCACTTACCAGGTGGAAGAATCAGAAATCCTTACTTGCCGTACCGATAAAGTGGAAAAGCAGTGTCTTCCAAGGTTTACTGGGGGCTAAGTGACATTACGCATCTGTCTCACCCTGTAGCTCACAGTGTATGTTCAAATGAGGTCGTCCCATTGCCCTCTCAGACATCCCCTTTCTTCTCCAGTCTCTGTAAGGTGGAAGCTACTGATACCCACCTTCATTCAGGTATTTAAAAAAATACATCTCCCTGATGGTGTTTGAATACAGGGTTAGACCAGGAGTCAGATAACTAAGCTGACCTGTCTTTGTAAGTAAAGTTGTGGTGGAACACAGACACACCCTTTCATTCTGGCTGCTTTCCCATTATATTGGCAGGTTGAGTAGTGGCAACTGAGTGAAATACCTACCATCTGGCTCTTTAGAGGAGTAGTTTGGCAACCCCTGGGTTACAGCATGAATTAGTAGTTTAAAAAATAAAAACTGCATGATACATTTTCATTAATATTTAAGATCTGTGTTTGGTATTCTATAGGCTGTGATCCTTAGAAGGTATTGGTGCTTTGAAAAAAAATAATTTTGAAATGGGAAACTTAGAGGATGACTTGTTCTTCTAGATGTTAAAATATATTACAACTCTACAGTAATTAGAATGAAAATATATTACAACTCCACAATAATTGGCAATGTTTGCCTAGACACATTAGTCAAATAAAAAATAAAAAAAAAACAGCTCTGAAGTAGATATTAGTATATTTTATATAGTGTACATATATCTTAGTATACGATAAAGAAAACATCTCAGAATATTGGGAAAACATTACTCTATACACAGGGAAAACTGGTCATAAACTCTGGTAAAATAGCCGCAGAAAGTCTTGATGTTAGAATTGAGTAAGTTTATTGCTATCATAGGGATTATTTAACTATAAGAAAAATTACTCTTCAATCTGAATTCTCTGATTTTTAATCTAAAAATTTATCTTTCAAAAGGTACATACATTTTTATCATAATAATTTACAGTTACTTGTATACATGATGCTTGCTTGAGTGTGGCTTGACTAGGATAATACTAATTGACTTAGTTTTTAGTTTATATCAGGGAAAAAGAATAAACAAAATGAGCTGATAGCTGCCTAAAGCTTTGGCTTTACTAATGATGTTAAATCTTTTAGATGAAGTAGATGGAGGAGATACACAGAAGAAACAACTTACAAATCCTCATGTGGAGCTTCGTAAGTATGAGATAAATCTCTGGTTTGGGGACCCAGGACTATAATTGAACAAACTCCGTTATTTGAAGCTCCTAGCTTCACACTAGATAAATATCCTATCTCTTGAAATGAATACTAAGTCTGTGCTGATGAGCGTTTGTTTCATCTAGATTTAGTGTATAAAGTATACATTATTTAATTTAAAAGGAAATCTATTTGTAAATTTAATTGAAATATAATTTAATTTATAAATTTTAATTTAACTAGATGTATAAGGTTTAAATAATTTGTTCTTGTATAATTTAGAGCCACAGAGCCTTAGAATTGTGTGTACAAGTTTTGTTACCCAAAATAGCAACACATACAATGAAATTTAAGATGTAACCATGCAACGATGAAAATGCTGTAACCAGCATAAAATTAGAACCAAATCTTATTTTATGTTTTTTTCCTGGAAATATGTAAGGGTGGTCCTAAGGTACTCTCTTAATCCTTCCTGAAGATAACAGAATAGTGATAAACAGGGATGTAGTAGACTTAACATGAAAAATACTATCATGGAGAAAATTAAATTCTTGCATTTGGTGTGGGGGTGGGGAGTAGGCAAGAAGGAAAAGATATTTCTGATTCAGAAGAGCTTTTTTCTAAAAACATTTCTGTTTATAGAATTTTCAGATGCCAACGCCAAGTTTTACTGTCGGCTCTACTATGCGGGAGAGTTTCATAAGATGCGAGAAGTGATTCTGGGCAGCAGCGAAGAAGATTTCATTCGTTCCCTTTCTCACTCTTCTCCGTGGCAGGCCCGAGGAGGCAAATCAGGAGCTGCCTTTTACGCTACTGAAGGTAGGCACTTTTGCTGTTGTTTAGTTGCTCAGCTGTGTCCAACTGTTTGCAACCCCATGGACTGTAGCCTGCCAGGCTCATCTGTCCATGCAAGAATACTGGAGGCAAGAATTTCTCCAGGCAAGAATACTGGAGTGGGTTGCCATTTCCTTCTCCAAGGCCTTTTTGACCATTTGCTAATTAAGCGGCATCCATCTTTTTTCCCTCGGGTAATTTATGAATCCCTTGAACTGAGGTAATGTGATGTGTCATTTAGCAAACATGTTTTTCTTTTAATGCTTGAGAGAATGAAAGAAGAACGTTGAAAAAATACATGGTGTATAGTGTATAATGAAAGACAAGCATTGATCAAATCCCTACTAAATTCTTTCTAGTCCCAAGTTTTCCACATGTAAATAGTAACAGAATGTCTAGAAAACTCACAACGTACCTCAGAGCTGATGGGAGAGAGATAAAAATAGAAACATTTGACTTGAAAACTGGAAGGCCAAGTTCTTAACCTGCAGAAGTTTACAGTAGATTGTGACCATTTGTACTACACGTTGAGTTCTCTGTACTCATTGAAAGTGCAGTTACTTGAGAAAATGCATCAGGAAAGATGTGCTTCATAGGCACTTTCATAACTTAGCTCCTGGGTTGCTAACAAAGGAGTTTGTAACATTTTACTTAGTAGTTTTAAAAAGTAGATCTTCTAGCTATGACTTCAGGTGTGTAACTGTCAAATGTAGAGTTTTCTTGACTATATAGTTGCTCAGAAGCCCTTCCAAACCTTCAACATGAGAACTATGTTCTGATCAAAAGTGTTATCATCTAGAAAATATCCCTTCAAAACATGAAGTGAGCAAGTCATTTAGGATTCTTAGAATGATTTATTTTAGATTACCTCAGTAAATATTGCAACTGAATAAACATGAAATTTTTGCCTTTTAGATGACAGATTCATTTTGAAGCAAATGCCTCGTCTGGAAGTCCAGTCTTTTCTTGACTTCGCACCACACTACTTCAATTACATTACAAATGCCGTTCAGCAAAAGGTAGAAACCCAAACCCTGATCTGTAACTGGAGTTTTCTGGTCCATTTCACATCCTGAAAGTCCTAAGGGCAGTTTTCTCTATGGTAATAAGTGAACAGAATTGTGCTTTTGAGGTGTGGCAGAAAGCAGGGATTTCAAACTTTTCCCTACGTGTGTGTGTGTGTGTGTGTGTGTGTGTGTGTAGTTTGCCCACTTGTCATTAAACAGAGACCCTTCCAGTGAGAATATGAAGGAGTCATGTAGATTTTTTTTTTTCCATTTATGGGTTTGTTGCCTTTTATTGGAAAAATTATGTCATGATAAAATTTGTGAATTTTAGAAATTGTGAAGGATTATCCCTTGGGAGAATATTAAAGATCTAATAATTTTATTGGCATTGCTGCTTTACTTGTGTTATAGATTCAGAATTTCTTTTAAGGTCTCCTGACCGTATTAATAGAAAATCTTGTCTGGATAATACATGAATAATCCAGATATGGATATTAAATTATAAATAATCCTTTTTTAAAATATAGTTGACTTTAGCCTCCAACTAATAAAAAAAAAAAATTACACAGCAGAAACCACCACCACCAACAACAAAAATATAGTTGACTTGTGCTATTGTATTAGTTTCAGGTATACAGAATAATGATTTGTATTTGCAGATTATACTTCATTATGATTTATTATATGATAATGGCTATAATATTAATATATGACATATTCTTGTTGCTTTTCTGTTTCGTACAGAGTAGTTTGTTATTCTCATAGAAAAAATTTGTCCCTCCCCCATTCCTTCTCTGCGTTGGCAACCACAAGCTTGTTTTATATTTCTTAAGTCTGTTTCTATTTTGCATGTACATTCGTGTCTATATTTTTTAGATTTCACATGTATGTGATAGCATACAGTATTTATCTTTCACTGACTTACTTCACTAAGCATAATATTCATAAATAATCCTTTTTGATAAGAGATTACTTTTATCTTTGCTGAATTAGAGGCCTACTGCATTGGCCAAGATTCTTGGAGTTTACAGAATTGGTTATAAGAATTCTCAGAACAACACTGAGAAGAAGCTAGATCTCCTTGTCATGGAAAATCTTTTCTACGGGAGAAAGATGGCACAGGTACGGATAATGAACCACGCAAAGTATTTAGCTGCTGGATCCCTTTGTACTTCTGGTTCCTGAACGTAATGAATTAGAGAATAACTTGGTATTTGATAGTAAATATTAAACTTTGGTCACTAGGTCAGCTTTAACTTTTGAGTTACTGAACCCTGTAGGAAAGAATAAAGAGGAATATTGTGGACTGGTCCTAAAATTTAACATAACCAATATCCTAGAAACACAGAATTATAGAGTAAGAAGGCATATCCAATGGGACTGGCCATTTTAAAGATGAAGAAACTGAGGCTCAGAGGAATTGAGTACTTTATCAAGGTCTCACCGCTCTTCCTAGAATTCAAGTTGGTCTAGATTCTAGAACAAAATGTGCTGATCTTTGAACTGTTTCCAGTCTGTGGAGCTAGGAGCATGTACTAGAAGGTATTTTTTTTTTTAGAATGTAATTTAATGTACTGCTTTCTTCATTGAGAAAGTCTTGCTGTGATGAAAGCAACTGTTAAACTGTAGGTTTAATGATGTAATCAATTTACATTCTAGCACCAGCTTTTCTCTCATCTTGAGTCAGGAACACCTGACTAGCAGTGGTCTGTAGAACACACCTCAGGTTCCACCAGTCTAGTTCCCAAGTCCCCTGACTAGCGTTGCTTTTCCTACTGTCTAGAAATTCCTAGAAATACGCTGTTGCTTCTGCATTGCCCTATATAATTGCACAGTTTTGATATCAAAACTTGAAATTTCCTAAGACCGTTTACCTCTGTTTTTCAAACTGCTTTATGATTCAGCAGTGTATTTTTGGAGTTACTTGTTAATGTTTCTTACAGTTGATTAAATGGGTCAGTATATTTCTGACATACTTGAATATTTGGGTACCTAGTTATTAGTTTCATATGATACAGTTATATCACCATGTGCTTTTTGTATTATACAATTGCAGTGTATGCATTCAATGACTTACATAAGTTATAAATTTTAAAGTTAAATATTAAAGTGTTTATAAGCATAGTGGCTACAAGGAAGCTTTCTGCCTTTGAAATTTAATTTTATTAATTAACCATTTGTAGCAACTCACATAAATGACGGAGAATTTTCTTTCTGCTAGGTTTTTGATTTGAAGGGTTCACTTAGGAATCGAAATGTAAAAACTGATACCGGGAAAGAGAGCTGTGATGTCGTTCTTCTGGATGAAAATCTCTTAAAGATGGTTCGAGACAACCCTCTGTATATCCGTTCTCATTCCAAAGCTGTGCTGAGAGCCTCGATCCGGAGCGACTCCCACTTCCTTTCTAGCCATCTCATTATAGACTATTCTTTGCTAGTTGGGCGAGACGATACCAGCAATGAGCTTGTAGTAGGAATTATAGGTAGGTCGATGAGCATGTTTTATGTGCAGTTCATGATTGAAACCAGAGTAATCTTTGAAGACTATACTGAACCTGATGTAGTAAATGCTTATTGAATGTTTTCACAGACTCATTTGAAATTTAAAAAATAATAGTTCTGTTCTAGTACTTTTATTCAGATTTTTCATTTTCATTATCTTTATCAAAAATATCTGTATTCAGGAATTTACTTAAGAGGAAGCCCTGTGAGGTTGTTATGAGGTTTGGAAGAATTAATATGGTAAAAACCCTTAGGACAGCCCTTGGCATATTGTCTGCACCTACAATATTGCCAGCACTCAGTGTTAACTAATGTAGAAGTAATAGCAGTGATAATTGTGATTGTTATCTGCTTATATTTATTAAGAGAGCTTTTACTGATAATCTCACCCCCTGCAACAGATTATATCCGAACATTTACCTGGGACAAAAAGCTTGAGATGGTTGTGAAATCAACAGGAATTTTAGGAGGACAAGGTGAGCAGAATTTTTGTTCTGTTTACTCTTTAAACTGTTCTCATTATCTTCCTTATCAGTTAACATATAACAAATGGATACTTCAGAAAAAATGATAAAACATAACTGGTTATCTTTGACTTTATCATCATTTCCAAAATGACCAAATAATAAAAAGAATTGTTTAAATGGGGAAATATGGGATCTTAAATATGTGTTAAGATGCAATGCCTGCTACATGGTGAGTCATGTCCGACTCTTGGTGACCCCCTGGACTGTAGCCCGCCAGGCTCTTCTGTCCATGGAATTCTCCAGGCATGAATACTAGAGTGGGCTGAAATTTCCTACTCCAGGGAATCTTCCTAACACAGGGATTAAATCCACCTCTCTTGTGCCTCCTGCTTTGGCAGGTGGACTCTTTACCACTGCATTATCTGGGAAACTCTTAAGAAACCAGAGGGTCTCAAAATGAAAAGTTAAAGGAAAGAAGGGCCAGAGTTCCTGAACAGGAGGTTGTCCTGATGTAACGCTTGACGTCCTTTACGTTCTCTGAGCAGTGAGAGCACCAGGTGTGTGCTCAGACCTCTCTCATTTCTAGGCTAGAGTGTCTTTTAAAATAAAAAAGCTCTACCAGGAAGGACCTGTCCCTTGTCATGTCGCACAATGAGCTCCCTCCCTTTTTTCTGAGCCCGTCTTAGTGTGTGTGTTTACAGGACATGGCATTTTATGTTCGTTTACATGAAAGAACATAGCTGTCAAAGTCAGTGATTGGGTCAGTTACGTAACAGCTTCCTTTTTTTCCCTTTGTGCTTTTGTACTCCCAGGTAAAATGCCGACCGTGGTCTCCCCGGAGTTGTACAGGACTAGATTCTGTGAAGCCATGGACAAGTATTTCCTGATGGTGCCAGACCACTGGACAGGCTTGGGTCTGAACTGCTGAGATGAAGCACGTGCTCTGAAACGGGCCAGGAGGACAGGGGCCCTGGAACCAGAGGACCGCAAGTCAGCCACATGTTTTATTTCTTCGTCACATTCACCACAGTGTGCAGAGGCCTTTCAGTTCTGAGGTTGGCTAGGCCATCTATAGCTGAAGGGTTGAAACTCCATGGATTTGCAGTTTGGTTTTTAATACCCACAAGTTAGCTGTCTGTGGGCTGGGAAATTGCACAAATATTTTGTTCACATAAGCTGAAATCTAGATTCATTTCAAAGGGCTGAGGACAAACGTATGGTTGGAGATGAGATCGGTTGAACAATGGTTTGTCATGTTTGCTGACAATCCCACTAAGCAAACAGTGTCTCATAGATAGTGAGCCTCCTGGCCTCACATTGGATACATTCTTTATCTGGAAAGGATTGGTAGAGCTGACGAATTTTTCTTGTGTTTCTTATGTAACAATTTAATGTTTGCCTATTATCAGAATTTCTGAAACTTTAAAACAATTCTGAATTATTCTATCCATGGCCAGTTAAACAGATGGATGCAAGCTGTTCTTGTTCTGCTGAGGAATTTGACTTAAATTGGGAATCCTCTCCTGTTCTGTATCTTGCCCTGTTTTCAAGGATGTTTGATATTTTTCAAGTTCTGTCACTTCTTGTCTGTGGGTGACAGGAGGCCACAGCCATTAACTTCAAGCCTTTTTCTGGAGCTGTTTTTTAAGCCTGTTTATAACTTTTGTGCAAGTAATATGCAGAACTGCATTTGTCTGCACATGCTCATAGTTTAGGTTTTTCTCCCACCTTCAGGGAGATATTACTAAATGAGTCTAAAATGACTAAATCCCAAAAGGGATAATTAGTAATGGAAGATTATTTTTAATCTAAAAAGAAAACTTAGGCCTGCTCCCAGACATTGAGCGAGGGAAGCGCTCGCCTGCTCTCTGTAGAGGTAAAGGGCCTGTGCTGGACTACAGTATACTGGGGGGTAACTCGTGATTCATGGAGCATCTGTAAAACTGAGATGTTTCCCATATGGACATCCTTGTTCTCTAACTTTCTGTATGAATTTCTAGGCCAGTTCTGACTGTTGAGAAATGTTAAGAAAGAAGGTATTCTTAGTAAGAAACTCCTTGTTTAATAGTTTTTGTTTGTCTAAAAAGTGATCAGAGGTACTAAACTATGGCTAACAACACAACCCCAGACACTTTCTCTTGGCTTCTTTCCATAATAAGGCTAATTTGGGGATTTATAACATTTTAAGGTTTCCACTCTGTCAGGCTTCCCATAGTAGCATGTTTGTTTTGCAACGTTCACATAATAAGAAAAAGTCTGGATACATTCCAGTTACAGAGACGTAAGTTTATGAAATAGGAACATTTTGGAAAGTTTACTTGAGAAAATGAAAGCTTTAGTTTGGTGTTTGGTGCTTATTAGAGACATGGTTTGCATTAGAAACAAGCTGACCAAGGACTTCCAACTGATCTGATGACAAGCATTTTTTTTTTTTTTAAACATACGGTGTGCCTTTCGAACAATACAAAGCCCTGATGTTGGTTTTGATGTCAAAGACCAGTCCAGGACTGGAAGATGTGGAGATATTAACTCCTCTCGTGTCCAGGAACAGTGGATACTGCATCTCATTTCGAATGTAAACATGTCTTGTGTCTCTGTTTATTTTTGTATGTGTCAGGATACTTAGGGTTGTTTATCCTGTCCATTGCTCATACCTCTAGTCAGGAACACTTCCAGGAGCAGGTGTCTTCCCCTTGATGCAATCAGATTGTTTCTCTGTTTTGGTCTCAATACCACATGTACAGCTTGAGTGCTCCATTGGAATAGGTCTTGACAATAATGCGTCTTCTTGATTTTGGTTTCTTTGCCCTTGACTTGAAGAACCAATTATTATTATTATTTTTTTAAGTACTGCTGTTGCTTAGGTATTTTTGTGGCTAAAAAATTCCAATGTAATTTAATCTGAAGCAGTACTTGTTTCCTTGCAAGGGTGGTCTGTCCATTTAAAACTGTGTTAATGAAAGGAAAATATAAAACTTAATTTGTCATGAGTGGTAGAACTGTATATACCTGGCCTCTTGCTAAGGAACAATATGCTGTGATCTTTCACAACCCGGGCTTTACATCATTCATATTACCCGGCAGCAGCAATAGACTGATGTGTCTTTTCACTGCTCCCAGAGAGTTACCCTCTAATCCTTCATTTGCTGCTCCAGCACAATTGCAGAGAAGCAACAGCAGGGATAGTTAGAGTGCATACAATGGATTTCAATCTACCCATCACTCAAACTACAGTCGAGGATAGGAGGAGGTAAAAAAAAAAAAAAAAATACAAAACTTTCGAATCAAGAAATGCTTTTGTCCATTCTAGGTCAAGGAAAATCATCATACCACTTGGCTTTATTCTTTGCCTTTAGGATAGCTTCCCACTTTCCAGTAGAAAACGGTTAATGTTTGTGAACATTCAGTAACAAAGTAATAGTGGAGGTGATGTTATAATAAACTGTTGCAAGCCCTTTTGTAGTCTATTGAATGTTTTAAATTTATAGATACTCAAATTTTCATACAGAATGTCCTACTTATAATTGTTCTCTTGATTCAGCAAGTGAGTGGTTTTCTAGCTTTGGCTTTTATTTGGTATTGTAAATAGTAGGGTTGTATTGGTTTTTGTGGCGTTAACTTCTCCTTGGCTTTTTACCCATTAATGGTGGACTTATATAAAACTGCTGAGGAGAGTTATCTACCTACAGAAAGTTTGCTTTAGCTAGCAGAGTACAAACCCTTTTGAATGAGCCTAGTGGTAAAACAGACTAGGCCATTCATTATTCCTCAAGTGTTAACATGCTGACTTAAGCAGTATTCAGACCATCTAGTGCCATGCCTTCTCTGTTTGTTTTTGTAACACGGGTGCAGTTGTATTACAGAAAAATAAAAATTACAATCATGAGCAGTTTTATGAATGCTGCTCTGCTGGTTTTGTAAAAGAAAAATGTACATTATGCCTTTGACAGGTTTAATTTTAATGAGAGAAATGACACTGTAAATCAGAATAGCCTCTTTTAATTTAATATGAAAAATCCAATTAACAATATTGAAAATACTTAGTGTATTATATTGTATATATTTCTCTACTTTGGTTCCGGCTGTTTTATATGATTGACATGTTATTTAAGAGATAAAATTGCCTTGACCTTTTGGAGACTTAACACTGTAAAAAGAGGACTTACAATAAACTGAGAATCAACTTCAAAAAAAAAAAAAAGAATTTTTAACTTACACGTGAAGAAGAGCAGCTTCTACCTACCGCAATCTTCATGTTCTGTCATTAACTCTTCTTATTGGACATCATGACAATAGGGTTTAGTCCAATTAACTTTAATGGATTTGGGAGAATTTAATCTTAATTCATGTGTGCATGTGCTCAATAGTGTCTGACTCTTTGCGATCTCATAGACTATAGCCCTTCAGTCTCCTCTGTCCATGGGATTTCCCAGGCAAGAATACTGGAGTGGGTTTTCCATTTCCTACTCCAGGGGATCTTCCTGACCCAGGGACTAAACCCATGCCTCTTGTGCATCCTGCATTGGCAGTCAGATTATTTACCACTGTGCCACCTGGGAAACCTTCGTTCATGTGTGCTCAGAAATATACTTAAGGATAAGTGAGTGAGCAGAAAGCCATATTTAGGAACTCAAATGATTTTGATTCAAACTAATGAACATTCATCATATAAGGGACTGGTCCTATTCCTTCAAAGATCAAAGATGACAGAGCCAAAGATGCCATGCTTAAGCTGTTTACAATCTAGGAGAGAAGAGTAAAAGTCTACACATATAACCATAAGAAATACAAGAGTTCTAAAGTGGGCTGCAGAATTAACTGAGTCATCTATAATTCTGTATTTTAGGCCACTGGCCCTAAGTTTAGATTCTCCAAACTCCAATCCCTGCATCCATCGCTACTATAATCATAAGAGTCATGCTAGAAATTGAAAGGCCATTATATCGTGGAATTATAGGAGCAATAAGGAGACAGAGAAAGCTTACTGGAATCAAAGGGATTACTAAAATGCTCCATATGAGACATTAAGAGAGAGCACCTGGTACTTAGGTTTGTGGCTTCTTCAATAACTGCCTGTAGTTAAATATAAACTAAAAGCAGCAGTGAAAAAACCAAAAGAAAAGCTATCTCAACAAAAGAATAATGCACACTAAAAATTCTTAGGCATTTTCTTCTCATACTTCTAAGAAACAAGCCTTTGCAGTTACAATTTAAGCTTAACTTTTTGAACGTGAAAAGAAATTCCATATGTGTGTATACTTTTTGCAGCCTGTGTGATTTAGCAAAAAAAAATATAAATTCTCACCTTTAGGACATTGTTTGCACTTATGTGGCGTTTAGCACGGTGCGGTGAAAGCTGCCCTCTGTCTCATCCTTGGTGGAGGAAGATATTTTCAGGGAGGTTGCTGTTGTCAAGAATGAACCAAAACGAGGTTGCAGTGGTGCGCAGCGGCCAGTAGAGGGCGCTGAAGCACTTGATCCTAAGATTCCCAAGTCCGCTAGGAGAGCAGCTTGAAGCCCTTAGACGGACCAGTGGGACTAGGGGAACCCAGGTTCCCCAAATTTTTGCCAGAGTCCTGAGTGTCTTCTGAGTTATTCTTTTCCAAGAGTGTGTGGCATCTCAGAATATGTAGTTTTCATTTGGAAGTTTAAGTTGGAAATAGCAATATTTTTTTGATGAGTGTAACTCTTGTTTTACAAATGAGGGTAACACTAAAAGCTTTTCATTTGAAAGAGCACATGCTTGATACATTTTCTGTTCATAACATCACTGGAATAGTATTGTCAAGGCTGTACAAATAAGTGACTGTCAGAAAAAGGACATTAGGAAAAACTGGAGAAATCTCAAAGTGTGGACTTGAATTAATAATAATGCTTCTACATTGTTTTATTGTGACAGTTGTACTTTAATAAATGTAAGATATAAGTAGTGGGAGAAACAGGGTGCAGGATATCTGGAGACTGTCTATACTGTCTTTGTCATTCTGACAGAAACAAAATAACAAAAAACAAAAAATAAATGAGTTGTTATACAGTGGATCAGAATAGGCCTACTTTAGAGATGTTGGTTTTAGTGAGATTAAGTTAGAGGATCTTTTGGTCCTTATAGCCTGATGAAATATTTTTTCTTTCCCTGTTTCAAAAACCAGCTGCTCTATATGAAGTGGCTAAGCCAGTGAAATGAAGATACCAGTTGGGTTCTACATCCATGGATACGGATGGTCAGCTGAAAAGGATTGGAGCAACTGTGGCTTTTGGTATCTGTGGGTGGCCTGGAACCATTTCCTCAAAGATAACGAGGGACACCTGGACGGCTGTGTCCCTGTCCTTGGTAGTCTTCATGCATGTCAGATCAGTGTCCTGCGAGCTACCCATCCCCCGTGGATCTCCGGGTCTCTCTGTGCAGCTCTCTGCTCTCCAGTACTCTGCCCTCAGAACTGAGGGTCTTGGTCTCCCGGGATTCTCAGCTATCTCCTTACCCCAAGGAACAGATCAGGGTCCTTGCAGATATAACTGAGGACACTCAGGACTTGTTCCTCTCCAGGATTCCTGTCCTTGATTGGCTGATATCTACCCCTGTCTTGAAAATTGCTGTTTTGTATATTTTGCCTGGTTTTCTTGATTGCTTCAGACAGGAGGGTAATTCTGGTCCCTATTATCTCACCTTGGCCAGAAGCAGAAGGCCACGTCAGATGATATTTCATAGAGAGTATCTGAACGCTGTGTTGGATTATTGATACAGTGTTTTCTCTAAGGGGCTGCTGCTGTGCATGTTCAGTTGTGTCCCACTCTTTGGACTGTAGCCTGCCAGTTCCCCTGTCCATGGGGATTTGGGGGCCAGAATACTGGAGTGGGTTGCCATTTCCTCCTCCAGGGGATCTTCCTATTTGTAACTGTTTTAAAAATGATTTTTAAAAAGATCTAGTCTCCTAATTGAAATCCTGTTATCTGAAACAATGAAAATAGATGATAGTATACCAGGAAGAGAATTTTTTAATTAGTTCAGTATGCAAAAATATGCCTTGAATCACCTCCAGCTGGGTGTGACCCTATCCATAGATACACATTATATTCTGGTCAGGGCGTGTTCCAGGGAGATATAAACCCTAAACCAGACTCCTGACAGTGCCACCTTCTTTGTCTTTTAGCTTCTCATCCTGAAAGTACTGTTGGATACCAAGATTGTTCAAGAATGTTAGGATATAATTAATCGCTCTTTCGTGTATTGGCAGCAGAACTTGGTAGGTGCTTCTAGATTTTTCCACATAGAATTTGATGGCTATTTCTGCTGCTAACTTGCTGCTTTATCAGAAAAAACCCATCTGTCTGGCAGCTCCATTCCCCCACACTCTTTGATGGTCACCATTCTCTCCACTAACAACACTTGAAGGGCCAAATGGCGGCACGGTATCACTAAAGTACTTACTGTTTAGAGTGGCGCAGGTCAAGTTACTGCTGGAAGTGCACACCTCTAGAATCTTTCTAGAAGTGATTCCTTTAGTCACATCTGTTTTGACTAGTCTCATCTCTATTGCACAGGGTTCCTGGTGTTTCTTCTCTGTGTTCATCTCCAAATGCCCAGAGGTGGAAATTACAAGGATTAACCTTACTTCCAGAGGATTGCTTTTTCCTTCTGTCCACTGGGGGGTGTGTGCGTGCTCAGTCGTGTCCAACTTTGTGACCCCATGGACTAAAGCCCACCATGTTCCTCTGTCCAAGGAATTTTCCAGGCAAAAATACTGGAGTGGGTTGTCATTTCCTTCTTCAGGGGATCTTGCCAACCCAGGGATCGAACCTGCATCGCCTGCATTGGCAGGTGAATTCTTTACCGCTAGCACCTGGGAAGCCCTCTGTCCATTGGACGTGAATATAATTATTGGTGACCCTGAAGAAACTGGATGAGATGACTGAGAAATCCAAGCTTTTTGGTTATGATGGAAGGTGGACACTCACTGCCTTCATCCAAGCTGGGAAGCTGCTGTTGGGAATGCTCAGGCTGGCTGCTACAGGAATGGGA